ATGTCGGCTGATAGATGTGTGTAACTCAGATGAGATTAAATATAAAAGTAAATAGTGTTCCTTTGAAAGATCTGCATTTTATTTCAACATCACATACCTGCAGGATAGGCAGTTCAAAGTACAAGTAAATAAAGTGAACTCCCAGGGTACTAGCATATCTATGGGCGTACCACAGGGCTCAATATTAGGTCCTTTCCTGTTTTTAGTGTACATAAATGATTTACCTCATTTATTTCAACGTGAACCGGGAATGGTATTATTTGCTGATGACACATCGTTGATTTTTAAAATAAATAGACGGACAGATAATTATGACGACGTAAATAATGCTATAACGAAGGTTCATAATTGGTTTACAATTAATAATTTAGTCCTAAACGACAAAAAGACTAAATGTATACGATTCAGTTTGCCAAATGTTAAAAGTACCGAATGTGACATATTATTAAACGGTAATAAATTGGAATTTGTAAAACAAACTACTTTTCTGGGTATAACCATAGATGACAAACTACAATGGGGGCCCCATATCACATCTCTGGCAGGACGGTTGAGCTCTGCAGCATTTGCTGTCTGGAAGATCCGACAGCTAACAGATGTGGACACTGCAAGACTGGTGTACTTCAGCTACTTTCATAGCATTATGTCGTATGGCATCTTGTTGTGGGGACAGGCTGCTGACATTGAGTCTATCTTTGTCTTGCAAAAGCGTGCCATCAGAGCTATTTACAATCTAAGGCGTCGTGAGTCTCTTAGAGAAAAGTTTAGAGAGATCAATATTATGACCGTGCCATGTCAGTTTATTTATGAAAAACATTATGTATGTTAGGAAAAACTTAAAAATATTCGATAAGGTGTCAGATAGACATAATTATCAAACTAGACATAGAGATAGATTATGTCAGCCATTATTTAGATTGGAAAAGGTACATAAGTCGTTCATGGGATTCTGTGTTAAATGTTATAACAAAATCCCAGGCGAAATACAACAATTAAATGAAAGAAATTTTAAATTATGTGTAAAGAAAACTTTATGTAGAAAAGCATACTACACACTGAATGATTACATTGTAGATAAAGATGCTTGGAGACATGCTGGTCCTGCTCCACAGGATAGCAAACGTACACCAAAATAAATAACGTTCCAATGGATTTTGCTTGAACGGGACTTCTTCATTTTAGTGAAATTGCAATAAATTGTATAACTATAACTTGATAAATTTGTAAATGTGAGTGCCCTGTAACCTATTATAATTGGTTAGACTAGCAGAATGTCGGTCCTTATAACAGCTTGGAGTTGTCATGCTCACTGAAAGGTCACACTGGCGGTGGCATGGGCACTGGATCGCTTAATTCCCTATAATATGGTTGAGTTGGGCGATGCTGGTGTACGTGTCATGCTCGTGAACGAGCGCCGTCAGTTGGGACTGGTCAGCTCCAGACTGTCTATTGTCCTTAAGGTTACTTTATTTTTATATTTGAATAAATATTAGTGTTACACTGTTCTCACATAATTGAACCAACTGTTTGTAAAAGGAATCTGTATGTGAAACTGATTTAAAAAGAGTAACCATGGAGTTTCTTGCTCGTTCTTCTCCATCGGAATCTACACTTTGGAACGAGCAAATAGCTTCACTAAGAGGACTGACCGACAGACTGACACTATTTTTTTATTTTATATTTTGTTTGACGTTCAAAAGTGCCTGTAAAGGTCTAATTGGAATAAATGATTTTTGACTTTTGACTTTTGGCGGCCGGGCGGGGGCGGGGGCGGCGGGGCCCACCACTGGACGACCGAGTGAGTGAGTGAGTGTATAGGTACCTGTACAGGTCGGCAGTAGTCTGCAGCGTGCCGTGAGCTAGATGGAGGCGGCGGCCGGGCGGGGGCGGGGGCGGCGGGGCCCACCACTGGACGACCGAGTGAGTGAGTGAGTGAGTGTATAGGTACCTGTACAGGTCGGCAGTAGTCTGCAGCGTGCCGTGAGCTAGATGCAGGCGGCGGCCGGGCGGGGGCGGGGGCGGCGGGGCCCACCACTGGACGACCGAGTGAGTGAGTGAGTGTATAGGTACCTGTACAGGTCGGCAGTAGTCTGCAGCGTGCCGTGAGCTAGATGGAGGCGGCGGCCGGGCGGGGGCGGGGGCGGCGGGGCCCACCACTGGACGACCGAGTGAGTGAGTGAGTGTATAGGTACCTGTACAGGTCGGCAGTAGTCTGCAGCGTGCCGTGAGCTAGATGCAGGCGGCGGCCGGGCGGGGGCGGGGGCGGCGGGGCCCACCACTGGACGACCGAGTGAGTGAGTGAGTGAGTGTATAGGTACCTGTACAGGTCGGCAGTAGTCTGCAGCGTGCCGTGAGCTAGATGCAGGCGGCGGCCGGGCGGGGGCGGGGGCGGCGGGGCCCACCACTGGACGACCGAGTGAGTGAGTGAGTGTATAGGTACCTGTACAGGTCGGCAGTAGTCTGCAGCGTGCCGTGAGCTAGATGCAGGCGGCGGCCGGGCGGGGGCGGGGGCGGCGGGGCCCACCACTGGACGACCGAGTGAGTGAGTGAGTGTATAGGTACCTGTACAGGTCGGCAGTAGTCTGCAGCGTGCCGTGAGCTAGATGCAGGCGGCGGCCGGGCGGGGGCGGGGGCGGCGGGGCCCACCACTGGACGACCGAGTGAGTGAGTGAGTGTATAGGTACCTGTACAGGTCGGCAGTAGTCTGCAGCGTGCCGTGAGCTAGATGCAGGCGGCGGCCGGGCGGGGGCGGGGGCGGCGGGGCCCACCACTGGACGACCGAGTGAGTGAGTGAGTGTATAGGTACCTGTACAGGTCGGCAGTAGTCTGCAGCGTGCCGTGAGCTAGATGCAGGCGGCGGCCGGGCGGGGGCGGGGGCGGCGGGGCCCACCACTGGACGACCGAGTGAGTGAGTGAGTGTATAGGTACCTGTACAGGTCGGCAGTAGTCTGCAGCGTGCCGTGAGCTAGATGCAGGCGGCGGCCGGGCGGGGGCGGGGGCGGCGGGGCCCACCACTGGACGACCGAGTGAGTGAGTGAGTGTATAGGTACCTGTACAGGTCGGCAGTAGTCTGCAGCGTGCCGTGAGCTAGATGCAGGCGGCGGCCGGGCGGGGGCGGGGGCGGCGGGGCCCACCACTGGACGACCCTGCCCACGACGGGCACGCGCCGCAACAGTCCCTCCTGCCACAACCGCTCCGCGTTCTCACGCTCTAAGTCCGCTTGAGCTTCTTCGATACCTGCACCATGATTTAGCTTTAGTTTACTTTCTGTCTATTCCTATCCTTTAGAATACCTCTCGCAAATAGGGCCGTGCACCAAAAAAACCGACAGACGTCCGTAAGTGGCTTGAATAAGCTAGCGTTGTTCTAAAAAGTTTGCGGAAAAGTTTTGTCTCGCGTTGTTATACATAGCAGCACGTCGTCGCACCTCAAGATCAACAGGAAGTAATCCCGCAAGCAAGGGCAGGGCCTTAGTGCTAGCTGTCCTGTAAGCCTTACATAGAAAAATTTACGCCAAGCGTTGGCCCTGAAGAAGTTTCCGTCGTACCGCACCTCTTGTGACCCTATCAGCCCATACAGATGCCCCGTAGCACACACATCCTAGGTAGGTAGCTCCGTAGATGGTCTTGAGCGTGGGAAAAGAGAGACCCCATGTAGCTTTCGAGATTCGCGTCAGCGCATAAAAGCTATTTTTGGCTTTCTCACTGATAACCTTAAAGTCTTCAATGAAAGCAAAGTTTATTTTCAGAACTAGACCGAGAAAGCAATCTTAAAACAAAAAGAACTAGACTCCTTTCGTTTTACCGGAAAGTTGCTGAACTTAATAGATGACCATGATTCCAGAATACCCTTGTGCAAAAGCTGGTAAGTTTAATGGGGCGCAAAAGATAGGCGATTTCGTTCTCCCCATCAAGAGATCTTACTGAGACAGTCTTTAGCAAAATTTTGAGTCCAGCGCGGGTATTTGAGTGTACGATTACAAGGCAAAGAACAGTTACATGGTAGGGGAATCGCAAGCAGATAATCAAAACCCAAATTCCACAGATACGGACGGGCCTATAACAAATCCCTGGGAACATCCCATCGATTTATAGACTTCGACCGAGAATAATGACCAATTTTTTACTTTACTGAGCCGTGGATAAAGTTTATATATGTTACTAAAGCAGTTACAGCCTTTGAACATGCATCGGCCACCACGCGTCGTCCAAGGCTCCAGAAATATCTAGAAAATGCTCCAGATATATCTAGATAAAGACTTCAGGAGATTGGTTGGAATCTGATCAGTGCACAAAGCGTTATTCTTGAGCTTTGAAATTGCATGCTCAACTTCGGCTAGCAGTATATCAGGTTAAAGTTCATGGGACTCTCAACGTCGGATCAAAGGCTGAGTGTCAGCTTTGTAAAGTTGTTCTGTATAGGCACGCCAACGCTCCAGTACTTTGTCTATTTCTATTATTGGTTGGATTTTATCGTGGACTATCCAGGTACGACGTTTAATGTCACCAGTGAGTGAACGGATTTTCATAAATAGATCTTTTCTATGTGCGCTATTTGCATGCTTTTCTATTTCGCTGCATATATTGTTAATATCAGCATTTATATCCCGTTGACAGCTATGTTTTATTGTAGAGAAAACAAACTATTCCCTTTTGCTTAATAGCCCGTTGTTCTTCAATTAGGGCCTATATCTCGGGAGATATCCACGACTTGCGATGACAGGTGTTAGTTTTAGGCATAGTCTTGATTACAGAGTGAACAGCTGTTTGAAGAGTACAACTTTATAAAATTCTTACCTTTCTTTAATACTTCAGTCATGTTGGTGAGTGCCCTGCTACTCTCCTCCACCTCCTTGCCGGCAGATATAACGAGGTCCAGTAACTCATCTACATCTGTATCTTCAGTCACCATGCCGAATCTGTGTAAAGTAAAATAGGTGATTTATCATCATGGACTAAGGGAATGGTGAGATAGACCGAGACGTGGCACATCGGATCTACTCAGGATGGATGAAATGGCGACCCACGCATGCCCCTCAGGTTGAAGGGTAAAATCTGCAGGTCCGTGATAAGGCCTGTCCTACTGAATGGGTCAGAATGTTCGGCTCTGAAAAAAAAAGCCATGAGTATAAATGTGGATGAATGGAGAAGGAGAGGGAGACCAAAGAAAATATGGATGGATTGTGTGAGAAATGATATGGAAGACAGAGGAGTCAGTGATAGCGTGACGAGTGACAGGACAGAATGGAAGAAAAAAACATATTGCGCCGACCCCAAATAAAACGGGACAGGGGCAGGAAGAAGAGAAGACTGAAATGTGCACTGATGCGCCTCTTCGCCTCTTTGTAGGGTAATAAACCCATACCTAATGACAAATCCTGGAAGATAATATAGCGTCGGTAGGTCAAATCGCTTAGCATGGGTTGCGAGTAAAGGGCAATACTGTACCGCGGTCTTGGCATGGATATCGGGGATCATGATAATCGGGGTGATTTATAGTCAGCAAAATTCTGATACCCCATCTCACCTAAATCAAAAGAGGATTCTAATCAAATGAGGATTTAACCCAGTTCAAAAAGAATAAAACAAAACATATGAAGGCAAATCGCTTTGTTCACTTTTAACAAGCGATTATTTTATATGATAAGGGCACAAACTAAACACCATAAAATCCAAAAGAGCGTATTGCTAGTCTGTTGAGAAAACACGGTAGAAGATTGGACTTTCGTTGACCTTACACGAAGGAAAACATTGGTAGCGTTCTTTAACATCGGCTTTCTGTAAGGCCGTGGTAACATTCCAGTCTAGAAGGTCTCTTCGTACTGAAGCGTGGCTCTCCCACCTGAACTTTGACTTAATTTAGGCATGTGTTCATGAACCATCAGTAAAGCTTCGCAACTTACCTTACGCAAGCCATCCCATCTTCACCGTCGCCGCAGGAGAATGCTCCGTCCGTGGCTCGCAATGTTTCCACGAGTTGCCTGTTCAATGAGTTCAGTTCTTCTGGCGCCGCCTCCTCCCAGCCCGGCGGGATGTATCGGACTCCACCCAGACCTAATTATTTTCAAGTTTATATTAACTTCTGTGAGGGACTTCGGAATCAAAAGTTATTTGTTCCAGACTATTAACGAGGTCTCTTCATTCTCACAAACTCTAGATTTAAGACATTAATAGGGACGTTGGAGTGATTACTCACTTAGGAGACTGACTTCAAATTACAACAGATAAGGTTACAAATAAAGTCTAAAATAAAATTTGACGATATCGAATTAATGTTTATTTAAAATGAATGCCTAATAATTATATCAATATTTTGGCGTCAAACGTCTCTTGGATGTTAATAAATGGGTGTCAAAAATTTAAGTTATGGACGCCATTACAGTTGCTCGCGGGCATCGCGGGTGGGTTCGCTCGAAGTCATTTGTTTTTCTTGTAGTAGCTGACCTGGCGAACTCCGTACTGCCTCAAATATAACTATTTGTTTTAGCCTTTTGAACCTCCTTTGGACTTTCATGAATTATACAGGACCAAAATTAGCCAAATTGGTAAAGGCATTGTTGAGTTGTGTGTGACATTACAACGAAAAGTGGCATTGATTTTTATATACATATAATATAGATGGATGTACCTACTAGGTTTCGCCCAGGTAGTGTTGATAAAAATATCCAAACATCGATGTTTGGATGTTTAGTTACTCAATTACGCCAAAACGGCTGGATGTGCCTGGATGAAATTTGGCACAGGCATAGGATACACATACTCTCTGGAAAAGGGCATAGGCTACATTCTATCAACATACCACGCGGGCGGTAGCTAGTTTATAATATAAGTAAGACTGACCAGCCCAGCCGGGCACGTGTACGAGGGCGAGGCCGGACCGCGCGCGGACCCTGGCGTGGAAGGGGTCGCGCAGCGCCACGGTGGCGGCCAGCACGTGCAGCTGGGCCTCGAGCAGCGCGCCCCAGGCGCCCGCCTCTGCCGCGCCCGCGCCCCCCGCGCCCCCGCACGCCGCGCCCGCGCCCTCCAGCGGGCAGTAGCGGAGGACAACCCCATGCGCTTCAGTCTCGCAGACCTCTATGCTTATCTAGTAATGGTGACAAATAAAGGATATGTTACACGATAATGTTGACTTAACGATGACAAACAGTTAGTTGCCACGACGCTCACAATTCTAATGAATAAGAGTCCTTTTGGGACTTGAAACTATTAGAGATTTTCTCAGTTTATCCACATGAGTAGGTTGTTATCCAAACAAATATTATAAATTCGACAGAAACTCTGTCTGTCTGTCTTTTCTTCACGCCTAAACTACTGAACCGATTTCTGTAAAATTTAGTAAGTGCACACATGTACTAAATTTTACAGAAATCGGTTCAGAAGAAAGTTTAGAACTCGAGAAAGGACATAGGAAACTTTTTATACTGTAGGAAGTCACTATTCCACGCAAACAAAGTCGCGGGCAAAAGGCAGTGTTTAATAAATTACACAATATTGGGTAAGACACATTTGAGATCTCGTAGCAATCGTTATAACAGTAGGTATCCTTCAGCGATAAAAGTAACATAACATTGGAGACGTGACAAACGCGATTAAATTACTGCGTGCTTATTTTAAAGGCTACTAAACATAAAATCAAGTGGGACTGCTTCGTATTCATTATTTACGTGGGACACCCCAGAGCCCCATAGTTAAACAATATTTTATATGTTTATACTAAAAAAAATTTTTTACCGTTACGTCTAGCAATGTATAAATTGTATTTCTTACCATATCAGCCTCTCTCTGTAGCACTTGTCCAAGCCAAGAGTTGAGTTTATCATAGTATGGAGGCGGTTTTTCCGTGCCCGGCGGCGCGAACTGGAACGCTACGCAAGCTGACGCATGACTTATTGCTTCCTGTCGAACAACATAATTAAATATAAATTTTTTTTACAATAAAAAAGTTAATAATAATAATTTCCAGAGCTTTTACTTACCACAATTCCTACATTTGGCGGTTCATCTCCACCGGGTCGTTCACTCTGTAATAAAAAAAGTCTATTAAATTAAAAGTTTTTCTAAGCGGAAATCTGTACGACTTCTAGAGACCACTTTGAGGTGATTCACAAGGACAAAAATAGGATTAATATTGGGGAAAAATTTGACAGAACACGCCACTCTATGGGAGAAACCCATCAAATTCCTTATCTCGCCTCTACGTGGGACAGGGAGCATCAGTCTCTAAACAAACGCATTCCTTTTTCTAATCCGAGCTGGGGCCGCAGTTCATAAAACTTAGGCCAGAGCCGGGATCGCATGGGGGGAATAGTTTCACTAAGACGACTGACCGACAGACTGACACTTTATATCTTTAAAATTTTGTTTGACGTTCAAAAGTGCCTGTATGGATCTAATTGAAATAAATGATTTTGACTTTGACTTTGGAGCGCTTGCACCTCCAACCCCGGCTGAATAAAGACTTTTCTGTGTATACGTTTACGATATTATTGATGTGTAGATACAAAACTACACATTCATATTACCCTAAAACACAGAACATAGATATGGGACCACCCAAAAAATCCTTTACGAAAACCAGGAATGTTTAAAACAAATAACGAAGCGTTGTAAGTGTCCATAAGCGTCGCTGATCACTTAACATCGGGTGATTCGTTCGTATACCTCCTATACAATAAAAAACAAGTTGCACATACCAATAACCTAAGTCCAGCATTGGCTACGACAGCGTGTACTGCCCTCGCGGACCTAAAGGCGGCGGTAAGGCGTTGTTGTAATGTCCTAGCTCCGGCCGCGCGTATACACGTCCACAGAGGAAGCGCTGGGATCCGCGCCCCGCCACCTGTTAAACCTGCCAAAGCTGCCAAAGCTCCTTCTCTACTACCCACCTAAAAAATTAAAATTTTCTATTGAACTCAAAATAATTATATCTTCTGTTTACTTTGTGTTTCTGTGTTACACAATACTTGTTATGACTTTGAGCATCAGGCTCGGTTGAACTATTTGAATTGTACTAGTAACGTATGTCTCACTCTTAAAACACCCCTGCTTTAAGAATCTTACGAATTTTATAGATAATATATTCCACGTAAGTTATCAATAGGACAAAGCTACTAATACCCTGTCTTGTGAATGGTTAACTTGGAATTGAAATATAGCCAAAGGTGAACAGAAAAGCATTATAAAAATCTGTATAACTATTAAAGTGTATACTTACAGCGCTCACTACTTTCGACTGGTCGTTAGCTGTAATAGCTTCAGGTATTTTGTAAAACGTCTGAACAAAATATATTAAGGAAATTTTCACAATTAAAACATAGAAGTACCAGGATAGCAGAATATAGAAGAATGTTTTCACACATCACTTTGCTTTATAGAAACACTCAAATATAAACTCTGCTTTTGTTGAAATTGAGTTCGTTTCAGCTTATTTATGATATAGTAAAGGATACAACGGTCGGCAGTCCTGGAACACCGAACCAAGGCCCTGGTGTGAGTGTCACGGAATCTGGTATACTGAAAGACTGAGAAACATACTTTTTATTAATTTACACAAAATTAAATCTTGAACAGAATTAAATGTAAATTTAATTCTACGTGAGAAAATAGAATTTGACTAACTGCCAATTTGCTTTTTGTTGGATTAATGTTTAACATCATAATTATTATAAATATAGATTTAGGAGACCAAATGCTACACTAGCGCCACTGCGATAAAAACACGGCTCGGCTATAGACTAGAAACCAAATATACTTATTTACGTCGCTTTCTGGCCGGCTATGACATTAGCGAAATAGCCTATTTTTCGTAACTATAGCCGACCATAGAGGTCAAAAGGTATATAAACAAGAATGCGGCCATCACTTAGAAAATTAGTAAGAGAACAGAATTCAAGTGTGTCAGACACAGAACTTACGTATAAAAAAATACTGACCTCATCTTTCGACGAAGCGCCCGGCAAAGCCAGCGCATGCCCCCTAACGTGCAAGTGCAAGTTTCTTTGTGAGCATATTTCGCCCAGAAGTGCCAGTGGACTGCCCCATCCTAGAGGTGGAGCGCCCACCTCTCCAAGCACTAGAAGTGGCGTTCTATTCGCATTTATATCTTCATCGTAAAGTTTTTCTAAGGCTTCTATGTCCATCCCTCGACCTGTGAAGAAGTACATTATTTATTGACTTAAGTACTTAGTTGATAATTTACAGAATGAAGTATTATTTTGCATCTCCTGAAGATGCCTTGTGGAGAGGCGAAACACGTGCGTAGTATAGGTTTGATTGCGTGGCATGCATTTTCGTTTTTTGCACGTGTGCATATCCATGTTATCTTTGCTGCATGAGCATATAGATTGCATAATAGTGGGATTGCAACAAGCCTCGATTTTTGTCGCGAAATTAAAACATTTTTCATAACATTTAATTAAGTCGTTGAGGTAAAGAAAATGGACAAGGTTGCGTTCAGTTTGACAAATTAAAAAAGAAAGCTAAATGTTCTGTTACAAGCTATGCTCAGGATTATCAGCACGTTAAACACAATGCCATAAAATAAAAAGACTGGTCTTGTTTTACGTGTATAGTTTATCCTAATTTTAACAAATAAGTTTCGTGATAAAACAGTATTAGTTCAAGGTCGTTTAAAATTGATTACATAGGGCTAAAACGTTTATGTAAACCTTGAGATATGATCTAACGAAATATACTGGTATTGGCTGTAAGCCAAAAACGTGTATAAACACCTGGACAGATTATTTGATTTGCTGTAAAATCTGCATTATGATTCTGTCCCAATATAATGATAACTAGCTGTGACCTGCAGTTTCACTCGCGTAGTAAGAAACAATGAATTTAATTTTGCAAATAGGCCATAAAACGGCAATTTTACACGTCAATTTATATGTGAAAAACTAGATGAAGCCCGTATAACCTATATTCACAGGGCAAAGTGTAACTTACCTAAGAATTTTTGAAATCGGTCAAGTATCCTAATATTGTAAAACTTAAGAGTTTGTTTGTTTGAATGCGCTAATCTCCGGAACTACTGGTTAGAATTGAACAGTTATTTTTGTGTTTGTTAGTTCATTTATCGAGAAAGGCTATATGTATAGGCTATAAAACATCCCGCTACGATCTGCAGGAGCTGAGCAGAGGGTGAAACCGCGTGGAAGTAGCTAGTTTATAATAATATATGTGTAGATGGCATTGTTGGCCATCATCATTATATCATGGGATCATAAATTATTATCAAAAGAGAACTAGTTTTACTTTTTTCAAGTTTACTTACTTATGCTATTCTAAAAATCTTTCGTAACTACATAGATATTGCTATCTGGATTTAACCATTTGTGTATGAAACCCCAAGAAAATCTAACTGCTTTCGTTATTCCTTTCAGACGTATGAATATTTTTCTGTATTCTCTGTGACTATTCTACCAACGAAACAAACTCAGTAGACTGTAGAATGCGCATGAATGTTGTTTGTAAATATACGTTATTATACCAACAAGTGACGTCAGTTAATATGTGGCATGTATACAGCCAGCTTACGTCATCGGCAATAATAAAAAATCGTGATTGATTTGATTATGAAAACTCCTTAAATGGAAGTTGCAGTTTTTTACATTCAATATTATCTATACCTACTAATATTATATAGCTGTAGAGTCTATTTGTTCGTTTGAACGCGCTAATCTCAGGAACTACTGGTTTGAATTGGACAAATCTTTTTCTGTTAGGTACTTAGTCCATTTGTAGTCTGTAGGCTATAAAACATCACGCAACGGAAGAGGAGGACGGATAGGAGGACACAAGCAGAGGGTAATAGCGACAGTAGTATACAGGGTGTAAGGGACAGCCCTCCGCAAACTGATAGGGTGGATTCAGTATATCGTCTTAAGTTGACCGGTACATGAAATTATTTCAGGAACGTTATGGGAATCCAATTAAACCGATTTGTTTCATTACCTTACACGCAATGTATCGCTACCACCGCAAACGCACGCAGCGAACGGCAGCGCTTTTAGTATTATTACTTTACACTATGGGCAGCGCCGCGACCTTACGTTCAGACAAACGGTCGCGCTCGCGCCACGTTTTAATAACAATAAATTATTATTTAAAAGATAGCCGCATTACTTACAAAAGACAATGTAATAATCGCGCTCGCGCCACGTTTTAATAACAATAAATTATTACTTAAAAGATAGCTGCATTACTTACAAAAAAAAATCTAACTATCATAACATGGTAGGTAACTGATAAATGATAAAAAAAGAAAAATGCGTAGGTACCTTAGAATCGCTCCGGTTTCCGGCTCTGGAAAGCATTTGTGATGCGGTCTCGCATTTCGTACTCACTTGCACACGCACTCACAAACACTTTTTCTTTTACGTAACCCCACAAAAAGGGGTCCAAATGGGTTAGGTCTGGGGATCGTGCTGGCCACGGTCCAAACCTACCTAAACTACGTTTAAATAGAAAAGCACTAGTAAGTGGTAGCGTCTCCTTACGTTAGCGAACCAATTCCAAAATCCACGTAGGTATTGGTCTTCCGGCGCCTTTTTGTCTGGGAACAATGGGCTGGTTTTCTAGCAAGCGTTGATAGTCACCAGTAATTATCCTGGAGTCTGATGGATGGCGACGGTCAGGATACCTACACTACTACAACACATTATCATCTCCCCATAATCACGCGCGCTAAACGTACCTAGGTAGTAATTTCGCACAATTTCTACAACAAAACTTCACTACACTTCACACACTACATAACTAATAAAACTTAACAACACTACTTATAACAAAACTTTTAAGCCGAATGCGCGAGCGATCCGTGCCGACACACGCTCGCGGTACACAAACAATAACATCGCAGCAAGGCACAATGGCGACTGCATGTGATGAGACACACACAAACATAAATCTGTTGTTGCCAATTACACGAAAATTACAAAATTTCGGGGTAAAAAATAAAAAATTATGCATGGTCGTAATTTATCATTCTGTTATTTTTTGTAGAGAAATGAATTGATTAAATCAATTTAATTCTAATTTCATTGTTAAGTTAATTTAGAATAATAAAAGTGCAGTGTGATAGAAAGCTGTGCTTCCATTCCAGGGAGATTGTGTTTAATTTCTGGCTCGACTATCAATTCATGGCTATTGTGAAGCCATGTTAAAATCTGTAAGTAGTTTAAAAACTAGCCAGTAATCGCTTAAAAAGAACAATCAATTAATAAATTAGGTAGTATTTGTAAATGCTTTAAAATTAAAACTAGACTAATCTTTATTTATTTCTTATTCAATTTATGTGCGCGACAAGATTTTCATTAATTGATTAATGAAAATCTCATCAACGTAATTATGAAAGCAAAGGAGTTCTCAAGTTTTAGATAAATTTCGCTAGTTCTAACATTTTCGTTTACTACGTGAGGTAACAAAAGTTAAAAATTGGCAACACTGGTTCAATCGGGCAAACATTGTGGAAAGAATCGGGGAGACGGGGAGACGCGGAGGCGGGGCGATAGAAAGGGACGCAGCTATTCTGTACGTTGCATTGAGATAGAAAATATATAGAGGCGCCGTGTTACTATAGAAGTATACATGCTTATACAAATATGAGGGAAATATGAAACAAACTATGAAATATCATTTTTTCTCACTCTTTCTAAGGCAATAATTGTATTAGACAAAAGAGACAACAATATTTAAGTTGTTGCTTAATATGGAAACAAATCATTTTGACATTAGCAAAGTTGTAGGTAAGTGCCATGTCCGCCATCTTAAGCGCTCAGAGTACCTGAGTTTCATGGTAGTTGTCCTGTCAAACGGTTGTTTATGTTTTAAATTATTGCGGTTTTTCAGTAAATTACAAAGAACCATTTTTTTAAACTTCAAATATATATAGTGAAACAAAAAAACAATATGCCTGTGTGTTGTATTGTGCAGTGTGGTGCAAAAAAGAACGAAAATCAACCTCAAATGTCTTTGTATAGGTTAGTAAACAGTTTTCATCAAATATTACTTAGAATAATCCACATAGATAGAAAAAAATGTCACGGATACTTTAATCTATTGCCAAAGTATATATATTTACTTTTATTTCTGTCTGTGAGACAGTTTTAGTAAAAAATTGTTGTTTACAATAATATGTCAATATGGCATAGTTACGTACCATTTCACAAAAGTATCGATATAATCTCCCATTTAAAATTCAACATAATTATACTAAATAATCTATTTTAACAATGGATGTTTCCGCAGTTTTGTGTAACGCTAAAGAAAGACGTCAGTATTTTGGTATTGGTTTTAGTTACATAAGTAGAAGTTCAAATTATCATGTTTTGATTGCGCGATTGACAGAGCGGCGTTGGCGACGATCCCAGTGCGACCGCCAAGCGTAATAATAAAAAGTGAGATACATACAATAAGATTGACTTCACTACATATCTATTTTGTGCTAACGTAGTTTCGAAGATATCATCGCTTAATCAGACGCGCCGAAATTGTGCGCGAGCACTTCACAAATACCCACAGGTTTTCCACATATATAAAGATAAACATTTAACAAACACTATCTTTTTCTATTTCACCATTCCATTAAACGCTGTTCATAAACACAGTCCTATTTTTTTAAAAGACGCTTTACGTAGAATTATATGAATACAAATTCGACTTGAGAAAATCATTAGCCAATCAAGAGACCAAGTTAACCCCGGGTTCCGGGTTCTAGCTAGGCCGACGGCAAAGTAGGAACAGGAGTTGATTTTAGTCAGTAACGGTCTGTCCCGAAAAAGGCCGGAGATGACATTAGATGATTTCCCATAAAAAAATACAGCTGGCTAATCCCTAAAACTATACCTACGTAGAACTTTTACTCAAATTATATCGATACTCGTTAAATACTTAGTCGGCACAACCCTAGCAACGGCAGCCATCTTATGCGACATTTTGGATTGTAGGTAGGCACCTTCTTTTCGTAGGTATTTCAAGTCCATATATTTCCTATGTCAATGGTACGTTGGACGGGATCGTAGGTATTATACCTACGGCGCGCGGCGCGGCGATCGGCGCGGTGGGGCGCCGAGCCGCTGCGCCGTGACCGCGGTGCGGTGAGTTCAAACGACTCGCGCTAGGTAGAAATTGAACAGCTGATTTCATGCGTAGTTCTTTAGAGAATTCACACAACCATTGCGTATTTTTTTGTTTTAGCTGTGTTATTTACATTAATGTTATTCTTCATACATAGAATGTAATTATACATTGAAATAAAGGTTTAGGAACTGAAAAAACGAAAAAAAAATTGAAAATTTTCCTGAAAGAATTTTCACTGGAATATGATTCAGAATAAGGAGCTGAATGCACCCTGTTAATTTGTGGAGGGCTGTCCCTTACACCCTGTATTATATACTGATAACAAAAAGTTTAAGCTTATACTATAATAATTATATTCAAATTTAATTAAATTTAATATTATTAGGCTATTTTCAAGATTTTGTAAATTTTGTTTGAAGGAGCTTATCTCCAGAATAATAGGAGCTGAACAACGTTTGAAACTGTGCAGGTCTTTCTAGCTCTTTAAATGGTTTTCAGCAGATGTACACATCTTGATTTCTTTTTTTAATAGCAATTATATTTACATTCAGTCAACAAAGTATCGGGAATGAATGTTTTTTTTATGGTTCCAAATTCGAATTTTTTTTTTGTTGTTGTTGTTGTTAGATTGGCATAACTGTTTTCCATTTTGGCGCGGAATTTGAGTTGCATCTGTTATTTGTAATAAAAACAGTGCTGTTTTTAGTTTTATAATATCTAGTGTGTATTGCGAATTTCATAATGGACAAAAACATCGAACAAAGAGTTTGTCTTAAATTTTGCATCGCCAATGAAAGGACATGGCCAAAAAAGTACATTCCACGTACACGAACAAAATTAATACACTGTAAAATACAAATAGAAATATGAATTATTACGTAGTTTTTAGCCTCTCCAGACCTGACAATTATTATTAAAAAAATGTAAAAGTAATGCAATAAAATCAACTTATCGTTTGTCAAGTTTCGCCATAATACTCCATAGAGAAAGATAAATAAAAAGACGTTCCAATTCCAAACCATGTGTCTTAAACTACACTCGTAGAAAACAGTTGAGTTGAGTTGCACTTTATAAAATACTCGCATTATAATAATGTTATGTTTTATTTTTATTCAAATCACCAAAAAAAAACTTAAACGAAACGGAACGTGTTTGACACTTTTGACAGCGTGTTTCTGTTAACCTTGCTAATAATACTGGAGTAACTGTTTTGCGTTTTGGATTTTTTTGTGGATTACGATGAAGTGCATCAACTGCGGAATAGCCATACAAAGGCTGCAGAGGCGTCTCATAACCTCACTTTCTGCACACCATCAAACAAAACTTTCACGTTGGTTAACCAATGCTCAAATCCAGGTATGAAGTCGGAATAGTATAATACTTAGTCTGTTTTTTTATGTTTTATAATGGTATGCGATTTAAATAGTGCATCTTTTTTTCAGTTGCCTCTGGAGATAAAACCAGGCTTCTCACTATTGAATACTGAGGCTGGTGAACAAAGACTACTAGGGCATAACATGGCTTGCCTTGGTTGTGGAAAATCGGTTCGAAAAATAAGACACCATAATGTCAGTATGGACTCTTCATTGCTAGCTGGCCTAATATCACAAAATACTATTAATGTGGTAAGCATTTTGTTTTTTATTCATTGTTTTATATATGTACTTGTATTTATCTATATTAATCTATAAAAAAAAAAGTACTCATAGTAGGTTTGTGTGATTATAATATCTATCTTTATGTATTTTCCATGTTTGCATAGACTTCTTTAAAATAGGCATGTTGTAACATAATACTTCTCACTGTACAATAACATAAAACTTGAAAACATGTGTATAATCTAACTGGGGTTTATTTTAGACCTCAAGAAGCAACTATGTTTGTCATGTGTGCTGTATGCGGGCACATAGACAGACAGTGCAGGACTTATCACGAAAGTTGCAGGAATTGGGTTCGGACAACAATGCAGCAGCCCCTTATATTCAAGTGGTTAGCCCACCAGAGCCACCACCATTACCACCTGTTTTAAGCAGGCCGCTTCAAATGGAAAGTACTACCATATTATTACCCAATTATACAGAATATATATTACAGAAACGTACATTCCATACACAAACATAATAAAATACACTTTACAATAAAAATATAAAAGTGAATTATTACGTAGTTTTATTTTATTTGTTCTCCTTAATAAATAAATCATTATTCTTTATACATATTCTTTTGTTTTATTTTATAAATAAATAAATAAATAATTAAAACGCCATGGTTTTTAAAAGCAAAATCTTATTTCCTGCACTTATGGCCAGTAATCTGACTAAAGGTTTAGTGAAACTATTTTCGTCTTGTTTTTTATAATTACGAGTTCTTCATGTGTTTTATTTTTTGCAATTTAATTTAATAATATTCACGAATGTAAACACCAAAAATCATTGATGTACATTGAATTCAATAACTATGCAAACGCCCATACAAAAGTTGGCCATGTCCTTTCGTGTTCGGAGGCACTCAAAATGTTACAGAAGGCTTACGGTGAATCGACTTTATCAAAAACACGTGCTTATGAGTGGTACAAAGCGTTCAAAAGCGGTCGAGATGTGATGGAAGATTTGCCTCGTTCTGGTAGGCCATCAACGTCTGCAACTGAAGTTAACATCGCAAAAGTGAAGGAAATAGTGATTGAAAATCCTCATTCAAGTTTGAGAGAGATGGCCGCCGAACTTTCTGTATCTCACGAGTCGATCCGTACCATTTTAACAAATAATTTGGGTATGAAACGTGTTGCCGCTCGGCTAGTCCCAAAAGACCTGAATTTTCTTCAAAAACTAAATCGCATGAAAGTCGCTGAGGACATGCTAGAACGAGGCAATACCGACCCAACATTCATGAAACGCATTGTTACTGGTGACGAGACGTGGGTTTACGAGTTTGACATGCAAACTAGTCAACAAGCTTCGGAATGGCGCCTTTCAACTGAACCAAAACCGAAAAAACCACGTCAAAGTCGATCAAAAGTCAAAGTCATGTTGACTGTTTTCTTTGACTATCGGGGTGTTGTGCACTCAGAATTCTTGCCCGAAGGTCAAACGGTAAATAAAGAATATTATTTGAGCGTTATGCGGCGTTTAAGAGAACAAATTCGACGAAAAAGGCCAGAAATGTGGAAAGAAAATTCTTGGGATTTTGCATCACGATAATGCGCCTTCGCACAAGGCCATCATTGTAAACGATTTTTTGTCCAAACACTCAACAAACACCATCGAGCAGCCACCATATTCACCAGATATGGCTCCAGCCGACTTCTTTCTTTTTCCCACACTCAAATTACCCCTTCGTGGCACCCGTTTTCAATCGTTAGAAGACATAAAGGAGAATTCGCGGCGAGCACTGAACTCAATTCCGGAAACAGCGTTTAAAAAAAGTTTCGATGATTGGATTATTCGTTGGCGTAAGTGTATCGTTTCTGAAGGAGCATACTTTGAAGGTGATAAAATAAATTTAGATGAATAACAAACATTTTGTGTATTATTGACTTTTTCCCGGTACTTTCTTGACGTAGTGTAGTAGACGTGTAGTATATACTTTTTTAATAGTATTCCATCTCTTACTACTAAGCCTTAACAGTGTTCAACACAATAAAAATATAATAAAAAAAATAACAATAAATCATAGAATATACACATAGAATGAATACACAGCGGATCATTTAACACAATGTTTACAAAAACTCTCTCGTTGTGTCATTGTAATGTACCTAACTCTCGCAATAATGCTATTTACTCTTTATCAGCCATTGAAACTAACAATACCATGAGCACCAGGTGTTATACGTCAATCTCAACTTTAGCCTTAAAAGTAAACAAGATAAGGCACTTTATACCTTTGAGTTTTATTAAAAAAAATATTCAGTTCGTGTATTACCTGATGGGTGTACTGGGACGGGTCTGACGCATGCTAGTGGCAGGCCGAGTTGTCTGCACAGGTGTTGCACCACGCCGAGTGGACTCGCCACGCAGCTGTATATGCATGGCAAGCGGTTTGTGAACGCTATCGCTGTAACAATAAATTATAAGAATTAAATAAGGTTTTAAGACCAAGTCATTGATCCAGTGTGCTGTCTGAGTCGCTCCTTGATCAGCGGGAATGTTTCTTTTACTATTTTTTTGGTATAGCAATAGATTCAGTACCTATTATGGAATTCTAAAACTTACGTTAAAACTATCGATAATTCGATGTTACAAATAATAAATGTACAGTTTAATAAATCTAAAATTTATTTCACATAAAATTCGCCAATTCAAATTCAATTGTTTTACGTTAAACCTAATATTCATATTTTTAGAGAATCCAAAAGATATAAGTGTACAACATATTTGGCTTAAAACTATAACGACACACTGTGCGGTGCCATATTGCGCTTGCCCAGCAACCCCGGCTGAACCTTCCTACTCTAACTTAGGTCCTAGTCATCAAATATAAAGTATATCATTAACATTTACATAACCTAAATACGAAGCACAAAATTAGTGCCTAACTCAGTTGTTTTATATGCGACCATTGTGTTCGCATCGTTGATACAGTGACGTCATCGGAAGCTTTGTTTCATCGAAATGAGATAAGCCGATGTTCTAGGCAACTAGGTACCAGTTCCATGCAAATGTAGGTAACGCAGACGCGGTTGAACAAATAAATGTGAGCATGAGTGAGTTCATTGTTGAATGTATGTATGTAAAATTGTTTGGGCACGGTTTTAGAATTAGAAACTTTTCATGCAACTTATCTATACTACTATTATTAACAGGTAAAATTTGTAAGTTTGTATGTAGGGGGTAATCTTTGGACGCGCTGGTCGGATTGCCAAAATTCTGTCACTGATAGCTATAATGTTCCTGACTGCTATAGGCTATAAACCATCACGCTACGATCAAATAGAGCTGAGCAGCGGGTGAAACCGCACTAGAGTAGCTAGTTTATGATATGTTGAGCTGATTTGAATGGAATTTGACATAGATATAGATTATTTATAGTCTAGAACACCGAAAAACAGACATGGCGCTTCCCGCGGCTTTCCAACATAACAAGAATATTCTTAAAGTAGCACAGACCTAACTTTCGTGTTTTTAATATTTATTGGTATAAATGGGATATTAAAATGTAACTGATGTTAAGCAACTTACCCCCATCTTCCAAATACCTCGGGTATCTGTGGTGCAATAACATTCGAGTGACTCTCACCAGACCCTCCAGCTGTTCCTGGTGATAATATGCATTGTAGTCTGCTAGTCTGAAACAAGATAAAGTAGTTACTCAAAGTCTCGAGCACAGGCGCAGAGTAGCCAGCCTTGTGGTTTTCTACAGGATGCATTTTGGAGAGTGTGCTCAGGAATTGTACGATTTGATTCCGCCATCCCAATTTCACCTTCGGACATCCCGGCGTACGGCGAATATCCACCCTTAGGTTGTTGAGACACCTGCTGACGGACTAAGCGTTTTCCCTCGTCATTTATACCGCGTACATCGAGGGATTGGAACAGTTTGCCGGCTGCAGTCTTTCCGTCCGAATACAATTTAGGTGTCTTCAAGGCTAGAGTGAATAAGCTTACCATCTTAATAAACTAGTGCGCCTTACCATCAACGATTGCATTACTGCTTACCATCAGGTGGGATCGCAGTCAAGCACTAGTTTATTGCAAGTAAAAAAAAAATTACTTATTTACTGTCATATTTGTATGTTATACTTGTATTTAAGTATGTCACCTGCCACTCTCATCTATCCGTCACCTAAAGGTCAACTGTTAGACAATGTCTAAGGCATTGAGTCCGCGTGTTAGAATCTATACTAACATTATAAAGCTGGAGAGTTTGTTTGTTTGTTTGAACGCGCTACTCTCCAGAACTACTGGTTCGGATTGAATAGCTCTTTTGTGTTGGTTAGTCCATTTATCGAGGAAAGCTTAAAGCTATAAAACATTACGCACAACACAAACTGAATAAAATTGCGAGGGACCAAGATAATAGCTATAGTGTCTTGTAAACTCGCTATGACTTTAATACGACACGACTTTCGATGCTAAATTTTGAAATTCGTTGGCCGTATATTATTAAACTAGCCAGTTAGATGGATTGGAGTACTCTAATTGGTCAATAGACTTCCAGAAATTATTTGACCAATTTGGATCACCCGCGACTGTAAAAATTCCATGGACAATTACGTTTATAATTCTTCATTGAACATCTCTTAGTGCCTTGTAGATCAAGAACAACAAACACAATTCAAAAGTCATAACCAATGCTAGCATCTTATATTTAGAAGGGGCAAGGTTTTACGTGTAATAAATTGATTTTTCACGCTGGGCACGGGAGGGTTTGAAGACTTCAGTTTAAAAGGTGTATCAGAGAGCGCTGCTACCCGTATGATCTTTGTCGAATGTGACATAAGATACCCGTAACCTTTTAACCCTGAAGCCGCGGTAAAACTAAAAACACAGCTGGTGCTAGCAAATATAAGTCTTGTTTGTTGTCTGCGGTGTAATATATGCCGTAAAGTTGCCCTGTTGCTTACAGGTTGCAATTAAGCACGATTAAAAGTGCGAAATCAAATGAATGAGCACTAGTTTTTCTGGGTTTCCCGGTGTTTAAATGCTTAGGCCCGCCACCGCCGTTGATTACTTTTTGTCAATTTTGTTACTGTCACTCACGATGCGCTGTTCGTATGTGACAATTTAATGGGTTTCAAAATAAAAAAAGTATCTAACAACAGACTCCAATACTAATGTACAGGTCAGTTGAAAGTCAGGCTGCAAATATATTTCACCATATTGTCAGTCTCTCCTATATTATCTTCATTATACTCAACTTAGTAACAAAAAATCACAATCAGCGACAGGCCTTAGTACTCGATTTCTTGGTTTCCTGAAGATGACCTTTCTCCCACAAATATCACCTTAGAATAAATTACACCGATATGTTAAATGTACCTATGTAAAATTGTGACAAACAACACTTGTAATACGCTTCATGGATATGGCAGGCATTAACATAGTAATAGGCACCTTGTGTTGTGATAAACAAGTGTTTGAATTGCATGAATAGCTTTTTGCATACAAATACATCTGTAGGTGAACAGTACGCATGGGTTTACGACATGGTATCGTAATTTTATAGTCGTATTATGTATATGCCAACCTAAGAAGTTTTTTAACATTTTAAACTTTATCGTGTAGTAGTAAGTTTGAAAACTGTTTTGGCAGATTCGAATAGCTTTATTGTGCATAGCGAATTTTCTTAGCATATTAAATTGGTCAACTTTCTATTTATATATGACGATTAATTGCGTGATGTTTAACTTTAATTATCTATGTACACAGAATATATGTACTTACTTATTAATTACTTAACCTTATTGGTTCTGGTTTCTAATGAATGATGCATGGTGAGTTTTAGCAAAATTTTGTACGTAGACTCTTTAATAATATGATGTAAATATTTTTTTATGTGATAGGACAGCAAACGAGAAACGCTTTACTTGATGGTAAGCAATCAGCGCTGCCCATGGACGACAATTTGGGGATTAGAGATTTGGTGATTTTGAGATTGGGGGAAGGGAAGTATTGGGCCTCCGGTAACCTCATTCACACGGCAAAACACAACGCTGTAAGTATTTCACGTCGATTTTCTGTGAGGCCGTGATATCACTGTGGTCGAGCCGACCCACTCGTGCCGAAAAATGGTTCTTCGACACTTAAATATTGACTAAAGTTAGGCCTAGCTAGATAATAATAGAAGCTTTTGTATCTAGGTCACCTGCATCCAGGCGTTCATGGCTGGGTCCTTGGTTGGCCATGCCATCCATTAGCAGTGGCCTTCATAATTTATGCAAAACCAACGTAGGCTTTACCGCATAGTTGCGGTTTTAAAACTATTACGTGGAGAGTTTGCGTGATATCCTAATAGCAATCACTTAGTAAAAACATTTAGATAAATTCGCTATATTACCAAGTGGTTACTTAAAATGTGTTACTGTCCGAAATCATAAGCAAACCTCTTTGGTATACAGATTATGAAGTAAATATTTGATTTCAATCCTTCCCCTCCCCTAGTCCCTAATTCTTTTGCGGGTGTCAATGGGCGGCGCTGATTGCTTACCATCAAGTAATCTGACCGCTCGTTTGCCGACCTATCACATAAAAAAAACCAGGTCGCTAATATCCGATCCTTGTCAAATGTGTAGTTAATTCATAGCACCCACGGAAAGAACACGTGCCAAATAGTATATTTCATTACTAGTACGGAATGGCTATCATTGCAAAGTCTACCCTCGCCTTCGGCTCGTGAAGACATTTTGTCGGGACTCTGAGGCATGAATCGCAAAAACTTCAATGTTTTTTTTTAGTTAAAACTTCATGGTTGTTTTTTTTAATAGAAATTATTTTGACTGTTGGGAAAGAAACGCACGAGTTCGGGAAAGGCAAAAAAAGTACGAGTGTGAAATAGCCCAGATCCCGTAGGCTACACGTCCAACTGTTGCACGCACGAGCAACTGTTTTAAAAAATATATTACAACGCGTTGCCACAACATGAAATAACGAAAAATAAACTCAAATTAAAAATATCGCGGCTATCAAGTCTAATGAGATTTAGATCGTAACTCAGGCTATCGCTATTTTAATTTCCACACCACACATACTGACCCACATTTCTCTTTATAGTTAAAAAAACATTCATAAAGTCCTTATCAGTTTATGGAATACGCTGTAAAATCACCATTAAAATTAATTTAAACCGTGAAGTAGGTACTAATGGCAAATGATTAATTTATGTTAACCCTTATTTCGTGTATTGCGATAAAAAATAGCATCTACTATTCTATTTTTGTCCCTTTTTCATGGCTCTGGAATATTTTTCTTTTACGTAGGTGGATTTATAAACATACGTAAGTTCACACACCACACCTTACGAGGTTTTCTAGACTAGAAACCACAATATTCATGGATCACACAGAGTTGACCCTTGCCGGAATCAACCTTACACGGCAGCCGGTTACCCACATTGATTAAATGTACCTATCTACCTATATGTAAGTTAAAGTACTTTATTTTTCAATGGAACTTGATTTTCAATTTTTTCTGCATCTTTGCTGGTATTTAACAAATATACAAGTTCACACATCAAACAACTAGGAATCACAATTTAAGTATAACACACAGAGTTGTTCTGTGCGGGAATCAGACCCGCGATACATTTCGCATCGCAGAGTTGCGCGTTGCAGAGTCACTATGCCAACCAAGCAGTCAGTTATACCTGCAGCTAAACTATGTAGTTTTAGTGTATGTGATTGTAATCATAACTAAGTTATTTTGTATTTATTATCAGGTATCAAAAAGTAGAAAACAAAATATTTATCTTTTAAAGAATGATACGAAAGTAATCCGAAATTTATTGCTATATGCGTCGAAACAACAATAACGTACTTATAGCACCTGTTCTTTTCAAAAGAGATAAGGTAAAGGTGCCTAGTTAGGCACACACATTTTTGGTAGAGTATAGCCAAGTGTCATTGACATAATATGGATAAAGGCCGACATCTTTTTTCCAAAATTTTGCTTGGTATATTTTACACACCATATTGTGACTTATAAATAACTAGTTTATATGGATGTTGCATTATATTTAACTATCTTTCGCCCGCTGTTTTACCTGCAATGTGCCTGTGTTAATCCAAGGTATAACCTGTCTACATACCAAATCACTCCATCTGTTTTGTGTGAAAGAATAACAATCATACACCCATAGATTCTCACAATCTTTCACTTTTATAATATTAGTAGAATAGTAGTATATTAGCAGTAGGATAGTAGGATTAGTAGGATAGGATGTATCTCTGCCTAACTCTTTAATGATCAAAAGACATGTATATAAAGTAATCTTGATGCTACACAAACATTACACATCAGCCCTTTCATTCCATCCATTCTTATCCAAATTCAATTAATACTCAAGGCTGACTGATAACACTAATAACAGATATTATCGACTACACTAATTTATCAGTTACAAATCTATGCTCTAAATTGCAAAGATGTGTAGATTCATTACTACATTATTATACAATAATAATATTTGCTTGTTACACTCAGGATATAATTGAGGAAGTATCAACGTGAATTGAAAAAAATATATTTTAAACTTCATTTCCTCGTAATTTGTAAATCCTATGTTGAAAATAGAGTAGAAGATAACATGAGCCACATATTTGGTAAAAACTGGGCCAATGGGTTTGTGATAAATCTGAATCTTTTAAATCACAATTCAATCTACCAGTAAACCTTGCAATTGTGGTAATTCACAACATTATAGAAGAACAATAGATGCGCAAACACTGGTATTTGTTTGGGTTTAATGAATAAAATGTGAGGATAATCCTAAAACTTCAGACATAGAGCGACTCACATTTCAATAATGAACTGTCACACACTGATATTATAGTGCAAAATGTTGCCAAACATGTTTACAGACAAGTATTTTTTACAATACAGGGTTGTTTTACCACCAGCATTATTTAAGTTCTTTATAAGCTTACAATGCACATTGTTGCTAAAAATTATGTTCTATATTCAAATTTACCGGCCAGTTTGTAGCTATTCAGATATTAGGACCTTAGTCTATAAAAAGCTCAGACCTCTTTTTTATTCAGACCTTGTCATTGATCTTATTCTTTTACTATTGAAAATGCTAACATACTACAAACAATACATACTGTGTTGTTGATACAGGTACTCATGATAAGTAATCATATTTCATCATCAATTAAGACCATAAGTGTCAATAACAAACACACATTCAAGTAACTTCTTGTTAAATGACATTCATTTGTAATGTAATGTTATTATATGTTGTTGAATAAATTGAGTGGATTACTACAATATTAATTATTTTTAAAGAATACATTCAGGTTAATGAAGTCATTTATCCTTTTGGACTACGTATTTCAAAGTTTTAGGTAATTCTTGTAATTTACCAATAAGAAAACTCTTCTTCTTCTTACCTGAACATATGAGACATCCATCTTGTTGTTTCACTGGCAATGTGAGCACCAAGTCTAGCAGCATGACTCCTCTCCAACCTTCCAAATAGAGCTGATATACTGTGAGATAGTATTGCAGCTCTAGTCACTGCGTCTGTCGGCAACAGCGGCGGCTCCACACTCTCACAACTAGGATCTGTTTTTAGCACCAAATCTTCCAAAACCTTCAGAATCTCATCCATTGATGTTTCTTCCGGCTCAAAGAAACCAGCACTGATCTTTCGGGGCTCAGGCTTCTTTTCCTCATCTTGAACATCCTGAGCGTTGACTCCTGCTTCCAAACGGCCTACTACTTCTGAAACTTGGAACTCCAAATCGCCGAAAGGACGCCGGTCCTGAACAACGATAAAGGGTCGTTAATGACTTACTATAAAACTAATATTTCAGAAACATAATAGGGCAGAATTTACCTGTTCAGGGGGCGCCTCGCTTGCGGGGCTTGGTTTATTGGACTCCGCGTCAGAAACTGATGCATCTCCCATGCTGCGTGGCGATTTTTTCGCAAAATTGTAGCACCGACCCAAAATGTGTAAACGTCACTTCAATTCCAATGTTTTGACGTGGGTGGCGTGTGTACATTCACGAGTAGTGATAGTATTTATGAACAAGTTACACGAATAAAATACGCTTCAAACGTTTTAGATTAATGTAAAAATGTACATGAATTCGTCGGGGAGTTAATAATAATTATTTTTGTGGGAGTAAAGATCAAGAGTTCATTCGGAATTATTTTTAAAATGACAAAATGAAATTGAAAATTTCAATATAATTTTAAGTATAATCTGTGATTAAATTAACTTCCAGCAAGATTATTTGACATTGACAGCGTCACTACTATTGACTGACAGAGTAATCTGACATTTCGCTTTTATTTTCACTCGCAAAACGCAATCAATAAAAGCGAATAGAAAAGCGAGTTATTAGTAATTAGAAAAATGTCGTTAGCTAAAATATTTTCTGTTTCTTCCCGAGGTAAATTGTCCTGTGTCTTTGAAATGGTAGCTTCAGGGAAATTAATTTAATCTGTTACGCAATTGTTGTTTATAACCTATAACAGATTATCTTATTTACTGAATCAAAAATATTTAATTTCGTAAATTTTCATTACGCAAATTACTATTTATAGCAAAGTGTTGATTTACGACTGTGTAAAACAGATGTACAAACATTGTGTTTCATAAAAACCCCTATAGATACTCACTGACCATCGTTTTGTTTTTAGTTCGAGCCTCTGGGGCCAGCAGCTTGGTTGTTAGGCATGCCCAGTACAGTACGGAAGGCAAGGTGGAGAAGGTGTACCCGCCCAACATACCAGGCTACAAATATGTGAATGCTGAGGACCCTAACATGTCCATGAAGGAGATGACAAACAGGGCTGCTCAAACATTGTTCTGGACAGAACTTGCTAGAGGATTTGCTGTTACCCTGGCTCATATCTTCAAGGTAAACTTTTTTTTACTATACACTCAGTTAGATAATTTAGGTATGACTTGTCAGGAGACAAATGAGAATTTAGCATTATATGTATCTGTGTATCTTCTAGTGTGAAAACAATAATTTGCTATTTATTTCCTTGCTAATTTCTTGCGTATTTCAAATTAAGAATAACAATGATAAAAAAATATCTGTCACTTGCCTTGTAATTCTAAGCTATCTAGAGAAGAGGTTACAAAGAACCATAATAAAGTCACTATTGCATTTATTAAACAGAAAATGTTTTCTTCACTTCCAGGAACCAGCAACCATAAACTACCCCTTTGAGAAGGGACCTCTTTCCCCTCGCTTCAGAGGAGAGCATGCCCTCAGGAGGTATCCATCTGGAGAGGAAAGGTGCATTGCTTGCAAGCTTTGTGAAGCCATCTGTCCTGCTCAGGTAATATACAGTTTATGAAAGCCAGAAATAATTAGATAAACCAATTGGAAACATACTCAATGTAGAATTAATGGAGAAAAGCTCTACTAGGTTCAAATCATAACAGAATGAGCATGAATTCATGAGCAATGTGCGCGTCGCAGCAACATTGCGCAACTGACTGAGAATAACAGACCTGTTGTGACGACAGGCCATTATGTTCAATAAATATACAATGCAATGTTTGTCACTGAGTGCATAAAACAAACATCAGGAACACTCTAAAATGATATGAAACTAAATGAACGACATGTTATGTAGTTACTGTTATATCAATCTCTTGGTGATCATACAGGATTACCCTGTGGTTGATCATGATATTTTGTAATTAACTCTTAACTAAGATACTATGTAAGTACTCATTTTCAGAATAGTGTATTATAGTCTCATATAAAGTTTTAAACTCCCATTTCAAAGGATTTTATGTTAACCACAGATACATAATGCTCTTACCAAGCATTGGCTTTACCTTGATAATTGCAGAAAGTTATCATACAAACTGCCTCATCCCATTCAAGGAAGTGGAGGTTTAGAAAGAAACAATATACATATATATTACTAGCTATTCTCACCCTGCTTTAACCAGTGGAACGTTTATTAAACTAACGCTTTCTCACTCGAACAACGACGCGACGTCGCTGCGCCTCGCATGCTGATAAGTGTCCCATGGTAACTTGAAACTACTAGAGATCTTAAATAATAATTATATAAGGAAGTGAGTAACACATACACAAATTCAGTAAAACAATATTGATATTTGACATGTCATTTCTGTTACAGGCTATCACAATTGAGGCTGAAGAACGTAAGGATGGTTCCAGAAGAACCACTCGTTACGATATCGACATGACCAAGTGCATCTACTGCGGTTTTTGCCAGGTATGTAGTTTTTCAACACCCTTATTGTTATGGTATACTTACTACAAGGTGCTATTATTTACCTGAAAACTTGAACGTGGCTTTTATACCTATTGTTTTCCAGCTATTGCACACCTCATTTCATGCTTTTGGAAAAGTAGTAGATGTTTGCAAAGTCTCAGCAAGTGTGTTAATGTCCCATAATATAGATACATGCAATAAAACACTTCTTTAATTCCATAAATTGATAATTTTAATCACAAAATTATATTGTCATGTAAAGACTTTTTTATTGTTTTTATTGCTAAAAAAAAATCTCTTATTTTACAGGAGGCATGTCCTGTCGACGCCATTGTCGAGGGTCCCAACTTTGAGTTCTCGACAGAGACTCACGAGGAACTGTTGTACAACAAGGAGAAACTTCTATCAAATGGTGACAAATGGGAGAGTGAAATCGCAACCAACATTAGGGCCGATCACCTTTACCGTTGAGCAAACAACTTTTTCCGTTAGTGTAAATAGCACATCCCAGGCCTATTTTGAAATTAAGTAAAATATCAATAAACAGTACACAAAGTATATGCAATAAATAGAACAAAACCGTGCTTCAATGTACAAAATAGGCCTAGGAATTAGGAATATTAAATTATATTGTTTTTATGATAATTAAAACATCATCTCAGTTAATCATTGTTTTATTCCAAGATAAAGTCACACATGTTTGATTTAAATTAAACCTTATATTATCAGTCTGTTGTGTCTATACCTAAATATCTATCTATAATAACAAGTTTATTGCGAAATCCTGCTTTAAAAAAAATATAAATATCTTTGATTTATAACTTGATTTAATTAAGGTTACAAACTAAATTAAACCTTTTGTATAATATATTACTTTATTAAATCAATTGCAAATTGAAGTCCATTTTAAGTTAATTAATAAATAAAACAAATTTAAGTCACTTAAGAAATATGATACATAGATGTCATTTTTTTGATAACTTTGATTATGAAAATTATTTAAATTAATGATTACATGTCAAAAATAGTCAAATCTTAAGACCCGCATAAGTAATACTACTACATAACATAAAAAAGGAACTCAAAATAACTTAATTGGTGTGATTGCCACCAAGTATCTTGTAGGAGTATCTTTCAAGATCCTCCTTCACGCAGGCAAGGCCTCTGTCTGCATCAATTGTCAGCACTTCGCAGCCTACATCTGGGGAATTCAGCCAGTTTTCATATGATTCATGGACCTGTAAAAGAATTGACATGTTAAATTCATAGTCTTTGGTGCTTAACTACAATGATTGTCTTATAAACAGATGGTAATTGGTTTCATGTAAAATTTAATTAGCAGAGCTTAGAATGAAGAAAAAATTACCTGCTTCAAATAATCTAAAGGTACTTCAGATTCCTCAGCCCTGCCTCGTTTCATCATCCTTTCATAGACAGTCTCAGGGGTGGTTCTTAGGTAAACTGAAAGATGGGTTTTACATTTGAATGAAAAATTGTGGAGTAATATCTACCATACTAATCTGTATGACATACAGATTCTTACACTTTTAGCCCTATTACAAACATCTTGAATCTTAATAATGAAATATAAGAGTATTAACGGTAAGTAAGTCACCTATAAGATCCAAATTAATATCAAGATGTTTTTCAGAGTAATCAAACCAAGCCAGCAATGTCTGATACTCAGGATCTTCCAAGAAGTTTTGCTTCTTAGCATTCTCCACAAAACAATGTCTACTGTTTTGCACTGATCTGAAAAAAAAAGAGATGCATTATACAAAGTTATGATTATACATAGGACCTGTTATAAAACATCTGACACATTCTGTTAGTCTTATCTACAGATAATTTGATATACTTGTGTGTGATTGAAATGATAAATATAAGCATTTACAATAAATTATTCATCCAAAACAAAAAACAACAAATAACGTAATTTACCTTTCAAACATTTTAACAGTGATATTGGAGTTGCAAGGCTGACTGGTTTGTATTTTTAGACGACTCAGATGCACATAGTGTTGGAATGCAAAACTCCACTTGTTCATGTCACTGTAGAGCAAACCAAGAAGGTTGTGACCTCTGACGTTGCGCCATTCATCCAGAGGTTCCTACAAGATAGATTTTTTGTCTCATTGAAGTGTGTGGTTGCTCTGTGGTTGGATAATTTCTAATAACATTGGTGTCGTTACATAAATTCTTTACTTCAGTCAGTCAGTTTAGATAAAACAATGAAGATCATGGGTACATTACTAATATCCTAAACCAGACCAAACTTATGAAGGAAAAGATGATTATCATAAATACCGCTCACTGCTACTAAATTTACGAAATTTGCATTGCACTTACACCATGTTTCTCAACGTTGGGGTATTTATCGAAGAACTTGATGCATGTCGACTTCCCAGAGCCGATATTGCCTTCAATAGACACCCTGAAAGGTCTCTTTTGTACTGCTCGTGCCGCATTTGTTATACTCTTCATGTTTGACATTTTTCTTTATATTTACCGGTTAGTTATATTTTCAGTGAAGTCCTTAAGTGACTGAAAATGAGTTTTTATTGTCAGAGAACTTATTTATTGTTGATAAACTGAAATATCTAGTCAAAATGATTTGTTAAACTAACCTTTATTATATCGAAACCGAGATTGTTCCAATCGCACTGCTTATAAACGTCAGTAAATAGAGTTTTAAATTTCAACACTAAGATGAAATTATATTATTTAATGGTTTTATTTTTGTTATCGTCACACAATTAGAAAAAACATTTTAAACGCTAAGTGATTTCACGGATACAAGCAGCAACACAACAATTTTCGCGCCAGATTTCATTCGATGAATGACGTTTTTTTGACAATGACATTTCCTTATTATTATTGAAGTTTATGGCCTGGATACAAGTCTTTTAAGCCAATATCGCTCATTTGGTGCAACAATGGCGTAATTACACTTTTACAATTTTTAAAGGAGAGCCGATTAAAGATTTGTATACGATGCATGGCATTTTGGGGAGACTCATTATAATCCGAATCATTTTAAAAGTAAGTTTGATTTGTGTTGTTTCTATTAGAGCCCCAATGGTTTCCGTGCATTATGCATTACCTAAATTATAGGCATAAATAAAATGACGTGTATGTAAATACGTCACTGTTTCTTCAGAATTAAATTTAATAAATATTGCATGGGCTATAGGATTTTACATTTGTGACAAAATAAAACTAAATAGATTAATAAATCAACGTCAATATTTATTAAAGTATGCTTAAAATCAGTTCAAAATTTAGGTAGGTAATTATTCTACTCTACCAGGTACTTATTGAAACATTTAAAACAGGTAACACCTTAAAAAACTAAATTCTTAGTCATTAAAATCACAATGTGTAGGACGTAATGGCACAAAAATCACAGCTTAATTGCTTATTATATTTGGAACTACAATGACATATTTACACAATTATGTCATTGTTTCTCCATAAAATATCATATTCAATGTCATAATTACCTTTACGACGTTGTAGCTCCCAAACAAAAACACACTCAGTGGGGCGCCCCGCGCAACTGGCCGTTCGGACGTTGTTGCATCAGAAATGGCGCCATTTCGTTCAATTCGACAACGACACTCGCGCCGTCTCGCGGCAAATCCCCCAAAAAACATTTCGGTCGATGTTTCTCCGGGTGTAAATAGACTTTTCGAACATATTGACATAATAACTTTAATTTACAAAAAAATGTAATTACGACGTTGTTGCACCAAATGAGCGATATGACATTTCCAATAAGACAAAAGAACCTGAGTGAGTTGGGATTACAGTTTTTATGCTCTCTTATAATTAACTGGATGTTAACTTAAATGCATCGAACTTTTTACATTTTGATTGGATATAGTCATTGGTTACCTTCAGCAATTATGTCGAGTTTTATTGTGAGTGAAAAAAATATTGATTTACATAAATAAAAAGAATTATGCATATAAAAATTGCTTTAAAATAACTTTCTAAATATTTTACACGGTAATGATTGAATTTCGCGATTGAATGCAGTGGCACTGATGCCAATAAAATGACGTCACGACACTATTTTTCTCTGTAAGCCCGTAAGATTTCTCAAGGTTATCAACGTAACCATAGCAACGCATTCTAATCTTGTTGATACCTACGTATTGTGACGACACATTCATCGTGACGCTATTTTAGACATTCGACTTTCCACAGGGTTTTCATGAGGCTTTCATGTCAAAAATAACGGAAACTACTAAACCCAATGATATTATAAGTAAAAAGGTGTAGATAGGTTACAAGCGCTCAGCAAGTGATGAATTAAATTGTGGCACAGTTTTTCATATTTGTCTCTCATTGACTAAACAATGAAATCTCAACCTACTGAGTTTAGAAAGCCACGAAATGTAATATTATCTTTTTGTGAGTTTTTATTCATTTTTTGTATCTTCGCAATTATGTATCATGAGTCTCAAAATATGAGTCACAAACACGTTTCTGTGTACCTAATTGGTTTTAGCTATGAAGAAATCAAATGGTTCTGAATCTAGAATATTACAAATAGTTGTGCTTTCCTGTTCTATTAATTGGAAGTGGCTTTTTTGAGGGGGGAAATTAAAAATTCTCTTCTCGAGTGTCAGAATCTTACTGAATAAAAAGCACCCCGTTCCTTTTTCTACTCCAGGACGGGGCCGGAGTCAAGCGCAATAAGGTACCTTATTGCGCTTGACTCGTGACCTTGGCTGCGGGTCGCCCTATTGGGCCACATCTGTGGTGGTCTATTGGGTCTTGCTCGCCGTCCGCGGACCCGCGACTTGAACGTGGCTAAGCTACCAATTTACATTTCATCTTCTGCCTATTTCCTGTACCATGCATGTTCATTATGTTTAATATGAACTGCAAATACAAAACCTTGTGGAGGCGTGTGTCGAGCCAGAAGTCTATCGGTTTCATACATTTACTAAAGTTAGTTATAATAATAGTGTCACGTGACACGCCATGTGCCTATCTTAGTCTGGTTAGGTATTGTATTTTTACCTTTAACTATGCAGAACTAGTGCAGGATCTGAGTAGGGCGAACCACAGCACTCAAAGTCAAAGTTTATCGTTCCTGAGCGTACCGTAAGCGTATCGAAAGATATCGTATACCCTAAACAAAACTATCACGTCCTTATTATGGAACTTAATTTGCGTCTACATACAAAGCGCAACTACTTCAGAAGGAGCGTTCGATTTTTTCATTCGAGGTTTTGTGAACGTGACACGCAATCAATGTGAAATAAAGATTGACAGTTAATTAAAACGGGGCTCGTTGCAACGCGTCGCGTTGATGTTCTATAGGTTGGTGCCTTTCAACTGAAATTCATGGTACGGGTGCCTATCTACAATATTGGTAGTCTAGCAACTTTTATAGACTTAATTGGTTACTCATACTTACATACTTACATACATATATTTATAGGTACTATGGCATACTTTCAGACCTTTTATTTAATCGAAGGGTAGGCTGAGGGAACTAATAGATAATGTTTGGCGATGCGCATAGAAGATTCACGTTTAGGTCGTCGAAAGATTATGTTTCTTGGCCGATATTTTCAGGCGTTTATTTCTATACATTACTCAACTAATTATTTTTCGATACGTGCCTTAGATAAAATTCTCTTTGATTTTACTTCGAAAGAACGTTGCTTCTTCTTTCTCCCGTGTCATGGGCGCGTTAACAAATATACAATTTTACATACACGTCATCATACCCAGAGTACCCAGACCCGGAACAATTATTTGTGGATCACACAAAGAGTTATTCCGTGCCGGAATCGAACCCGTGATACACGGCACGGCAGCCGGTTACTTAACTTCCACGTCAACCGTGTAGTCAAGTTTTGAAGTGAGTGACATATTAACTTTTTTCAACAAAATATATATTTTATAAGCTAACTACTCCCGTTATTATATTATAAATAGAGAGCCGCCGTGTAGCTCTGGATAGCTAATTAAGTACCAATTTACGGAGAAATTCGACATCTCCAACCTAAAATAACAAAGCGATTCAAAGTTAATTGTCGATCAATGAAGCGATATACATAATTTAAATAAATCTTTACAGTCTTATAGACAGTCCTAATAGTATACTATTCTTACTAAAATAAAAAAACAACTATAAAAAAAAATATTCAAAGTATGTAATTTGTAACGGCACTAGGCTCATTATTTAAATGGAATAATGAACGCATTGTCTGTGCCATTGCTATACAGTAACAGGCAAGTCCCATTGCCTCTGGGCTTGACGCAAGTCTATTGTCTCTGTTTTATACTCCGTTGCACCGCGAATGAGTGTGGGGATCCGTGAACCGTTCGTGACGTAGTTCGTTTTTTAAATTTATAACTAGTTGTTTTTTTAATTGTGATGTGTACCTAGGTATTTTTGTTTCGTTGAATGTTATTAAAAGGTTCTTAATATAAATGTAATTTTTACAGTAACAGTTTATTATGATTCAAGTTCTTTAAATTGTTATCTATATTGAGTTCTTTCTTTGTCCATACATTACAAACAAGGCCGTAATTAAAAACAAAATATTGTATTTTTGTATTTACTTTTGACAAGGTAGGTACAGACCCATCATTAATAAAACTAAAAAGTGCTTCCCTCGCCAGAATAAATTTTTCATTACAAGCGCTAAATAGGATCCTTTGCAATACCTACATTTTTTGGGGTGAATAGCTCTCGACAACCTATTGTAATATGCACAATGGCTATATGAAAATTATTGTTGCGAATTGCATTGTTTGCATTTCAAAACCAACATTTGTTATTTGATGCCATTTACTTGTATAGAATTCAATTAAACCATTAAGCCCTTAAATGCTTTCAATAGCACGTTATGTTTAGAACAATGTTTTATTCTGGTAACATTGCATTTGATATTTAAAATTACAAAGTTGTTAATCATGTTATGTCAAATCAAATGATGGTAAATAATTTTAAATGTTTTACTATTCTTTTCAAAGAAGGTTACCGTAGGCCCAATCCTTCCCCTCCCCCGATCCCTCCCCAATCCCTTAATCTCCAAAACCCTAATCCCTAAGAGGTGGGCAACGCACTCGTAACTCCTCCGTTGCGGGTGTCCATGGGCGGCGCTGATTGCTTACCATCAGGTAAAGCGTCTGCTCATTTGCCGAACTATCAAAAAAAAAAAACATTATTCATTAAATAAAATAATAGTTCTTCAACGATAAAAAAGTATAATAAAAAAGTAATAATTGTAGAGCGTGGGACCAGCTATCTGAATAATTTTAAGTTGATGGTACCACGGTGGGCGCCAATATACCTACATAACTTTTTTTATTTTACTATAATCAATATTCTTGAGAGCCAAGAAAGTAGAATGTTAAGGAATGATAAATAAATTAGAGAAAATATTTAAAATTTCTTTATTAAATTTAATACTTAATGTCTAGGCGCTACAATAAGTTGGTAGCCATCTTTGGGTCTTAGTATGAAAGCTATCGGAGATAGGCGCGATGATGGTCGAATAGCCTTTGTTTTGTAATGCTTCAAGAATTTTACCAGGAACACTTTTGCTGCTAGAACTGCGAAGCGGGACCCTTAAATTGGAGGTAAATACAATGTTTATTTATTTACTTACAACATACAAACAGTACGTGTATAGACACAGGCGCAAAGTTGGAAGCTTTTCAGTTTTTTTATCTTGATTAATAAATGAGGCTTGCTTGGCCTTTAGCCCTTTCCGCCATCGTATCACCAGATAATTGGCAAAAAGTCACCGCTTCATGGTACATATCCCACCCACAAGTAAAAAGCAGTTCGCCTCCAGTTTTATGATCAGATCCGCTAAGGAATTGATAATACGGACTCACAGAAAACTGACGTAAAACAATCACAGCGCCGTCTGAATAAGTTTACCGGAGGCCCAATCTTTCCTTTTACGCTAATATCTACAAGGCCAGCAACGCATTTGCAACTCCTCTGGTATTGCGGGTACAAGCCGGTACCGATTGCTTTTACCATCAGGTAATAATTTGTCTGCTCGTTTGTTGTCACATAAAAAACGACTAAGTCAAAATGACACAAACAGAACACTCACACATAAGTCCATCACAAGCACAAGTAACTACAATATAACAAAGTCCCTTTGGAAACATTCACAATATGAACTAGTATCAAAGTATAAAGGAGCATTCCTTACCAATGCAATGTCGAGGTCCATTTCCGAAAGGCATGTACGTATAGGGAACTATCTCTGCCTTCCTCTCCTTTGAGAAGCGCTCTGGAATACAGGCATCGGGATTTGGCCAGAACTTCTCGTCCCGGTGTATCGAGTATATTGGTAGCCAGACGTGTATACCTGCTGGGGCCTGCGGGAATTTAAGGTTTAATATAACTAAGTGAGCTTCACCTTAACATTGGATCGAAGGAATGCTTGTGGCATCAAGTCCGATCGTGAATGTTTTGTTGTTTTAACAATAAAATATAAGTGAGGGAATGTTTATGGACACATTGTTAATGTACCTCTTTTGGTTTGGAGTTTTTACTTATTGAAGGTGAAAAATTGAAATTGATACGTCGCTACATATTTATGTTGAGCGTCTACCACTGAGTGCTAATTTTGAGTCTAAAAACTTGTTTTTTTAATAGTGCTACCCTATTCTTGTATTCTGCAACGGCTACGTTGCCAAATAAATATCCAAGTAATAAGATAAATACTTATCTAATAATAATAATTTTAAAAATAGAAATTTAATTACACATAAAAACATTTATCTATATTACCTGCGGTCAGTGTTTTTCTCAAGAAAACTTTGAAACAATATCCACCTACCTACGTCGACCTCACCCACACACATAGAAATAGAATTTTAGCTGACCTTAAGACGGTTTACAACATTGAAATTGTTATTTTATTTCTGTAAGATTTTCAGGCTAATTCAATTTGAACAACAACCTCTAAAATAAGGTTCAAAATTTTGAATACTTCGAGCTCAGGGTGGTGAAAAAGTAAACAAAATTCAGTAAAGGTTCCACCCCCTATTATGTCGTAAACGATCTATTAACAGAGAATAAAGGAATCCTCCAGGGCAATGGGCCTATTAAGATGCCAAATTACCTATTACCACGCGCCAATGAAGTTATTACTTGGAAAGTATCACTGGCATAGCAAAACCTCATTTGTGGAGATAGCTACGTACTAAAATTAAGTGATAAAGATTTTGTTGGCTGATAGTCTGAAAAGTATTTATTTTGTTGGGTTTATTGTCTGTGGTCTAGCTATGGTCATTACTATTTAGAAACTGTTTTCTTTTTTTTATTAACAACTCATAAGTTAGCGTTCGTTTTGATAGATTCTTGAACATTATGTGATCCGCATTTCTAATAAGAGATTTTTGAATAGTGAAGAAAGTTTGGCGCTCATCTTCTTCTCTAAAATTGTAGTGAGAAATGGATATTCCTAACCTATTCCCATGATACGACGACCGAGTTTTCAACTAAAAAGTATCTTTATTTTTAGGGGCTGTAAAACATCAAAACTACTGCCAGGCAACTGCGCACCTTTTTATAAACTTTGTTAAGGACTGAAATTGGCTGATACAAACTTTGGCTTCTATCCAGAAAGAATATACAAGTACTTCCTAGTACCTACTTCATAACTATACGCATACAACAATATTTTCTTGCCCAATAGTTTAAGGCTATATTGATGAACAAGATTGTTTTTATAGATGCTAAGGAGAATTATAATGAAGAACTCACGATAAGGCGATCTTTGCTGCCAGGATGTGTCGGGCCAAAGTCGTAAGTTGCTACCGAGCGTCGATCTGCAGAGCCAACTAAAGGCCATAATCTCAAGACCTCTGAAAATAGAATACACGTTGGTAACTATACAATGGTCTAAGGCTTATGGTAGAATGGTTTTTGAAGTAGAGTATTAATTATTTGGACATTGGTCTCAACAGGCAAGTCTTTAGAAAAGAACTAGTAGGCTTATATTAATGTTAAGGCCAAATGGTAGCCTGAGCCCAGATTACACTTAAGCTTAAGCGCGTAGCTTTCCCTTCGCATCTAGAAGATGAAGTGCCAACAGACTACCACGACCGGGGCCCAACTGGGCTGATGTTCAGCCGGATTGTCGATCAAAGAGGGCCTCTAAATAACCCCTCCAGTCGATGTATATGTTTTCCTTAGTACGGGGATTATAAAGAGTATTTTACCATTTACACACATCTCCAAATACTCCAGATCTTGAATTGCCTCGTACATATCGGGGATCTCGTCTTCAGAAGGCAAGGTGTCCAGTTCTTCATGAAGTTTCTCCTGTACTGTTGGGTTGATGGCCATTTCATACAAGAAGTAGTAGATCAGGTTGGCTGTGGTGTCGTAACCAGCTATGTAGAAGAGAACTGCTTGAGCCACCAGATCGTCATCAGTGAATTCTGTAAAAACATTCTTAGTTATAAAAGAGGCTCTTATTAGTTTTAAAAAAAATTACATTAGCTTTTCCTATGTCTCAAAATAAATGGTAGGTACTGCTAATTTGTATGATTTCAAGTTATTAATACGTATACTAGTCCCAAATTGTATACTGATGTTGTAAGTTACTTTGGTAAAAAGCTAAATCGTTATTTTGACTACATGGTAAACACAGTGACTGGGCAATTGGCTGGTGTGCAACGTCTCGTGGCTTCCCTTTCCACATGGAACTAAATTTTTTTTTGATCCACAAGTTTTTGTTTCGGGTTTGGTTATTGGAAATTGTATGTTTGTAAACACGCACAACCACAACATGAAAGAATGATGCAACATTTTTACTTAAAAAATAATATAAAGGTTTTATCCTGTTTTCATTTTAAAATTAAAAAGGCTGTTATTACTTGCACTCAAAAGCCTATATAGTCGCCGATAGTTGAAAATGACGCAATTCTTTAAAACTTTTATGCAGTATCCGATTATATCCGAGTCCATTCCGATTCGACCGTATTATAATATGTAGCGATAAATAAAACAATTCATTGGACAAGAGAATGTCAATTGGGATTTTCCGAACGGGAATTTCCCATCAATAGGATCACGTGATGTACATTTTTGAAATGTTATAATAACTTTTGTGAAATGTTGAGTAACTAGGGTTATTGTTGTGTGTCATTACGCTTTTTGGTTATTGGAAGTGTAAGTAGAGAAATGATTTTGAATAAAAATTGTCAGTATAATCCATTTTGGATTAAAAAGCTTATAATGTTAGACTTAGCGTCCATTTTACCACCATATGTTTTCTTGATGAACTACATACATATATGATATACAAGTGTGAGAGCTATCCCACTCTTATATGAGGTGTAGGAGAGCCAAGATTGTAACTTCGGCATTAATGGCTTGGCAGACTAGAATGGTACACGGTCTCACAGAAAACCGGCGTGAAATAACCATAGCATTGTGTTTCGCCGTGTGAGTGCGGTTATCTGAGGCCCGATACTTCCTCTCATTCTTCCCCAATCCCTAAATATTCGAAATCCTACCCCCTAAAATGTCGTCAACGCACTCGTAACTCTTCGGGTGTTACGGATATCTATGTAATGTGTGTGCGGCGCCGATTGCTTTTCATCAGGTAGGTAGCGGCTTGTTCGCCGACCAATGACATAAAGTAAAGTTAAAGTACTTGTGTGGTACATAGTTCAGAAAAACTATGGTCTATATCAACAAAGTCAGAGTCAAAATCACCACCAGGCACTTTTGAACGTCAAGCAAAAAAAGAAGAAAGTATATAGATTTCAAGAGGTTTAACTTTAAGCGTGTCAGTCTGTTTGCTCATTCCGTAGTGTAGATTCCTACTGAGAAGAACAAACAAGGAACTCCATGGTTTCTCTTTTTCAATCAGTTTTGCAATTCGTTTCTTTGTTACATCATTTAGTCGGTTCAAATCTGTAACATAGCAGCTATACATATTTTGAAACAGATATTTAGAATACTAAGATGTAGAAAAATGTACCTTACACAACCTAGACTTCGCAGCCTACTTTTGACTTTGATTTTGACTACTTCCCTAAATTATTTTATTCTATATGTCGGAGCGTCGATTATTTAAATTGAATTTTGAAGGAGGTTTTATCACAATTCATCGGACGAGGGTACCATAAATCGTACTCTGGCGGAACGTCAAACTGGCAGTTCTGCGTGCGCATTATGGTGGAGAGCGAGCGCTGTGACTGTCGTCTGAGACGGATCGCCGACGTCCGTTATTTTTGTAATTTATTCGGCCTGATTATAAAATCCTACGCCCTACGATGGACTGTGAAGACGATGATCAGGATGTTGATGTTTGTACCAACCCCCCGGTGCCTTCATATACATTAATTGATTATGTTTATGTAGAAAAAAACCTACCAGGTTTTTTTTAAGACCAAACCTTGTCGAGCTTGAATCTTTAAGCTTGCTTAAATGTCCAATAGACATACATACATATTTTAATTTGTAGAATTGTATTGAATTATATAAATAGAATTTCAAAAATGATTCCATATTTACATCTAATCCAAACTAGCCTTTTATACACTCAGAAATAATTCTAAAAACAGTAACTTCATTTGGCAACCTCACACCCTCATACCAGCCAGTTGGTTCATATTCATATTCCATACTGGCAACTCAACTCATCAAGAATCCGACATTAATTTGAACTCCCTCCAAAACACGCGTATGTTTACAAGGACCGACGGAAACATATTGCTATGCAGTACATCGTAATCTTGATCCGCAAAATAAATACGTTCCGGTTGTAAGGAATGGAGTAATCCCGGCACAATTGTGACGTCACGCTCAGATCACGTCATAATTAAATTTGGCGTGCGTCTCGTCAATCACTGCCGGGCCTGTTGTGGTGTAGTGGAGATGTTACAGCGAAACCACTTTGTTAGGGGATGAAAGTGAAGGTTTTGTTAAAGAATTAAAAGTGGTTTATGAGGACTGTGCCAGTGGTTTACGGGGATATGAAAAGTAGCTGTCTATAATAGTGGTATACGTTTTTGTCTAAGTTTATAGAAATAAAGTGGGGTCATAATTGAGAGAGAATCGATTTATCCTTGTCCTACACTAGGATTATTCTACTATTTTTCCTGTGTCGTGGGACACATCACACCCAGACCAGGAGCAATAACATGTGGATCACACAAAAAGTTCCGTGCGGGAATCGAGCCCGCGACCCCGGGTGATGACGAACATTTTATATTTTCAGGTTCCAGTATTGTCGTGGGTGCGTTTACAAACATACAAATTCGCATTCACAAGCCACCTAGCCCCGTAACAACAATTTTGAATCTCATAAATTATTGCTCCCGCATTGTATTGATCCCGCTACACGTTGCACAGTAGTCAGTTGCCTAGCCACAGCGCCAACTGTGTAGTCAGATAAATGAACTAACGAACACAAAAATAATTATTTAATTCGAACCAGTAGTACCGGAGGTAAGCGCGTACAAACAAACAAACAAACTTTACAGCTTTTTAATAATAGGTCTTAACCTATGAAATTGCCGTTCTGCACTACTAGCCATTTCAAATCAAAATACTTTTTGTTAGGCTAAGAAGTCCAAATTTTTTTTTTAAAAACATGGTATTATTTTTTCAAAAGTAGTCATTTTTTTATTGATTAGTGTTACATTTTCATCGCATTTCAAATCAAAAAAATCGTTTTTCATGCAAAACGCTACGGTAATTTCATAGGTAAAGACCTATTATTATAATACCTATAGATTTGAAATAAATGCTGCTTATAATTATTGTTTTTTCTTCTACCATTGACGTACTGTTCTACCCTCACAGTGTAAAGTTAAGAGTAAACAAATTAAAGTTAATCTTACTCTCAGCGGTCTTTGCGCTTTCGTTGTTGTTGCCGTCACTCTCACCATCCGATTTCAGTTTTCCTGCACAAGACAGATATATAGGTATACATAAATAGCAATACTATTATGGACTTTATAATCTATATTGTAATTATTGTAAACTAGTTTCAACGCAGGATATTGTCTGAGAAGTCTGGAACTATGTATGTACTGTCCGTCCTTCAAATTCTTACTAACCCCTCAGTAAGAATTAGAATTTACGGACATTACAAAGCCTGGATACCCAAAACTGGGCGTAAATGGTGTAATCACCAATACCGGGAAAATATTGAGTTTTTTCTTCCAAAATCGTCATCTGTTCATTCATTTTGTCTATTAATACTTGATAACGGAACCCGTGACACCTCCGCTTAACAGTTACACTCGCGATCAATATTTATAAACAAAAAATTTAGAAAAATTTCAGAAGCCATCATAAGTCCAATTTTGTGAATTTGATGTATTTCTAAATTCGTAAATCAAAAAAGAAAGTTCTATAAAAACCAAAGTTAGGTAGATATCTCTCTAAAAAGTACTAGGAGTCAATAAAGTAAAGGAGTTTACTTACCATTAGCAGCGTCAACTAGAACTTGAATGAAGTCAGGTCTAGGTTTCACTAAGTTCTCTCTTCGAGCCTTTAGTGCAGATTTGAATAGCTGGGAAAACTGCTCCGCGTCTTGTGTGGGAATTAATTTAACTCCTAGAAACTGGAAATCAAATAAAATTATATATTTAAGAGCAAAAAATTTTACGGCTTTTGTCTCCGAATTTTTTTTGAAAAGTTATACATCAACCAACTGGTACCATTAGTAAACATGAAGGTACATTTTTCGTCAGTTAAATAATATAATAATTGGCCATTCTATTGTCATACGTTAGGAACAGACTTAAACTGAAAATATACTTATTTAAACATTGTATCTGAAATGCATCGAACAATGAAATCGAGATCTTATGTTCAATAGTCACATTTCCAGTTCTTTCGAATTTAACAACAAGAAATTTAGTAAGTATAATTAATGAAATATCATAACATTAGATGATTCGATATACATAGGTATGTATTCTGTGTACCTATTGAATGAAATTCATCAAATGAGTAAGTATAATCATCAAATCATCATCAAAAACTGCACTCGCCTCGTTCCCTGGAGCTAGAGGAAGTGTCAGACTCTTACTGACTAAAAACCTGCTGTTTCTTCTCCTGCTCCAGGCCTAGGCCACGGTACCTTATTGCAATAGTTGAACATGCATGATTCAAAGAATCATTTACAACGTATCCAACATACCTTCATAATGCTCTTCATATTCTCGTAACCGAAGAACTTCATGACCTGTGTAGTGTCCTGAATGACTGCTTTCTTCCCCAATCTGAAGATGCAGTTACCAGGATCCTTGAGAGAATCTGATGCGAAACCAAACGCGCATGATGCTATAACGTCGTTCACGTACGACATTGTTATCTGTGATTGAAAATATTGATTTTACTATATTTAAAGGATTTTTAAATCTGCTTCTGAATTTAGGGACAATATTTTTTAGCTTTTTTTCTAATTACATATTAGTGTTCTGTAAAGCGTTATCTTATAGTGAGGTATTTATTATTTATGTATGAATGTATTATTTAAAAAAGACAGATTACAATATAATAGAATGATAATACTTGCAGTATTATCATTCTTTAAATTAAACTCTAATGTTCCATAGCAGATTTTTTTTGTATTGTTCAGTTTGCGTTTATATGTAAATCACGAAAAAAAAACTATTTATTTCTGAACTTCGTACTCACATTTTTTTAATACTCTGCTCTCTAATTAAGATTGTCTCCTATGTCATTGGTGAGTTTACGAAAATACAATTACTTTTACATACAACCCGAAACAATATATTCCGTGCGGAAATCGACGTCGCGACACGTTGCGGTTGTCCAGAAATGTAAACAACTTACAGTATTAACATCGATGACTTGTTCCCCAGTTATTTTTTCTTGTAAGTAGTTGAGGACTGCGCACGCGCTTTCGGTCATGAGTGGCACCATACTACGGCAGCGCGCTCCCGAAAACGCGGGAGACAGAGATGCACGCATCGATCGCCATTTTGATCCTGTAATAACAAAGGTTTACGTTAATAATCTTATTTTTTTTAATAAATTGCTTATCTATACTCTACGTAGTTTGAATCAAAATACCGCATCAACAATGCAATATTTTAAGCATTGGAACATGAGAAGAAAGGTTGGATTTGAGTCAGAAGATCTTACGCACCACAAGGTCTCACTCCACCTACGGCGAGAGCAAAAAATCCAACAAATAGGAATTGTATGCACAGAGTCTCCATCGTTATTAGTAAGAAGTTCAGACTTATTTTATGACTTACGCCCGGTTCCTGTAATTGAGAAACGATCCGTTTTAATTACGAATAGTAGTTTTATATACGACTCGTAAGCTAAAACCGTCTCGTCGTGCAACTTACTGACGGTTTGCAACTAACGGATATCGGTAAGCGAATTGTATGGAGATCTATGGTGTCTGTGGTTTTCCTATAAATATATTAACCGTCAGTAGACGGTCAAGATAACTATTCGTACTGTCATTTGGTCGTAATGCGTATACAACGACGATTCGTTAAATATAGGAACCGGGCAATAGACATTATGAACAACAGCTAAATAAAAAAAAAGAAACGTTATTGCCAACAGAACAATGTCAGACGGGGTAATTTTTAAATTCGCATTCCAAAATCAAACAAGCAACATAGCATAGTTAAAAGGAGCTTGTATAAGTTGAACTGTATACAAACTCTTTGCTCTTATCTTCGCACAAAGTCAAGACTCTGGAAGTCGTGTGAACGTTGTTATGTTACGGTTAATTTTCTAACTAGGTCGGAGCGACCCGCCTCCATAGTCATAAACGGTAGTATTATGTCAACTGATTCGAAAGCAGCCATCTTTAACGAACTTTAGATAACTTTGGTCAATGCCATGTAAGTATGACGTACAATAAAGAAATCTATATTTTTTTTTTAAAGTCGTGGTAGTTACACTATAAATTTATAACTCAAGAACGGTTAGACCGATTTTGTTGAAGATTGATGGGGATATAGTTTACAACTTGAAGAAGAACATTGGATAAAAATAATAGGTAGAGTACAGTAGATAAAGTAAGGTAGGTAGGGTAGTGTAGACAGTCAAATGACAGGAGCGCAGACGCGTGTAAAAGCTAATTTAGAATAAAAATAAGGTAGTCGGATTATTATTAATTTTATTTTTTAGAGGCTTTCAATGTTTCCTAGTTACGTAAAAGATAAGTATATACCAGTCAACATGATGAGGTTTCTTCCAAAGAGTGGATCGCAGTCAGCATCGATGTGCACTCCTCGATCGATGAACGAATTGAAGTCGCGCACCATGATCTGGCGGATCAGCTCAGGATCCCGAGGTATGAGCGTCGGTACCAAGTATTGGTACAAACCGAAGTATCTGAAAGTATCAGAGGTAAATATATAAAGTATTTTAATTAGCATTTATTCAAAATTGTACACTTGACAACCTATACTTCAGAATCCTATTATAGCTTCATCCAAAGGTTGTCTGTAAGAGATCGCCTTGTCCGAAAAGACCGCCCATTGTACACTCAATGTTAGTAAGCTATCCTTTATAACTGTGTGGTGTACAATAAAGTACAAAATAAATAAATAATACGGTAGTTTCCAACTAGTCAAATTCAATAATTTTATCCAAACGTTAAAAACGATACTTTTCTATGAAATTTGTATGAAAAAAATTGCTATGACGTCATAACATTTTTGCGTCAAATAGCTTACTTATTTCATAGTAATTAGTTAAAAAAAATCTAAAACTAAGTGAATAAAAGTATAGTTATTTTTCAATGTTTTATTGTATCTATTATATTGGAAACTACCCAATTGCATCGTCATCGTCATCAGCCTATAAGTGCCCACTGTGAAGCAAAGGCATTTACTCACACAGCAGGTTTGAGTATTTATGACCACGCGTGGTCATCAAGTGGCTCAAGGCGGGTAGGTGATTTATAACTTATTTAAAAAACAAAAATTAGCTTTCCTCACGTTGTACTTTATTGTTTGTTCGTGATGTTTTAATAAACTAAGAAAGTATAATTAACTTGGAAAATATATTGGTAATTGCCAGGTTTTGCAAGCGAAGCATTTCCATAATATCAACAATCGCATTCAAATAAAAGAATTAAATAAATTAGATCGAAATTAGTTTATGAGGCTCGTCATAATAGAATTATCGTATACTTAAATTTTCCTCTTTTTGACAAATAGGTATATCTAGGTAATGAGTACACACGACCTTCAAACCCTGTCTATCGGTTTAGATGGTTATCTTAAATCTTAATCATGGTATGTCTTTTTCATTTAAAGTGGTCGAATAAAATAAATATTTTATAAATATTGTTTAAAGTTTACTTTAGTAGATTACATCAATTTAAAAGATGTTTACATACATTTTCAGTCATCCGTTAGATAAAAAATACTCGTCAAAATTATTAAGATTTAGTTAATTGCCTAAACTGATAGATTATAGTAACCACATAGAAATTAATGTCATACTTCAAATTTTTCGTGTTCAAAATGACGTTCGTGGTTTTGACCTTGATGCGACTCTAGATAAAAGAACTTTAGGACTTATTCTTATCCGTAGTTACAAGCGGACTGACACGGTTCGTTCAATTTTTTGTTTGAACAGAGGTCTTATTTTCCATCTACCTACATTCCTTATATTTTTTTGTAACTGCTAGCGACCCTCCCCGGCTTCACACGAGTGCAATGCTGATACTTAATTTCGGCACTATTTAATTATCATTCCTTTTCAATCACTCTGGCTATTTAAAAACGCATCAAATCGTATCGTAGTTTCAAGACTTAAGCATAACTAGGGATATAGGGACAGAGAAAGCGAATTTGGTTTATACTGTATAGTGATGTGGTCATTCAAAATATATTTATCACGACTTATTGACATTTATATTAGACGTATTACGATTGTAACGGTCGTCACCGAAATAACGGAAAATAAAACAAATAATCACAGTTAAGTTGAATACGGCAGAATTTTGTCAAGCCATGGAGATTATAAGACATTTCGAATTTTTTCAAACAAATAACAGAATATTCGTGAGAAGAAACGCTGATTTGCTCTTGAATTATTTTCATTTTACATTATAAGGGCTCACCTTTGATCTTTGAAGGCATTGTATCCCGCCGCGATCGCTTCCACGAAATTTTCCCGCCCAAGAGTGACAGCTGTCAAATTCCCCAAAAACGGTACCGGAGGCAACGTACGTACACCCCGGGACGAGAAGTAACTCAAGCGATGGCGGGAATAATAAAAGAGGCACGTCACTAAGATCACGAGCAACAACCACATCGTTTTGTTTCGTTTTAAAGAGCAAAATAAACAATAATTAGTATTTTATTTTTGTTTTTTCTGTCAACAAAACACAAATTCCACAATATAGTATTTAAACACTGGCCACTTTCACGAAATCACAAACAGGTTCGATTTAAAAGAATCTCATCACTTATTGGCTATGTCTTTTATTCTTAATTTAAAAATACAATGTTACACGTGTTGGCGCGCTTTTAGTTAAGTAACGTTTGACTATTAGAAACTGACCGGCATCGCATAGAGAAAGTTGTGAAGGTAATGGCTGCACGCTGACATAGCGAATAAGTGGATGTTACATAACAGAACTCGGAACTGGTTTTTGTAAGCCGTGACCCTCTTTCGAAGTTGGCCATAATATCCGACGCATCGTGAGCACGGTGGCCGAGATGTGTTACGTCTGATTACGTGTATCTTAACGACATAATAATACGACTGCAACTATTATGATTACTCAAAGCATGATCATAGATCCTAGTATTCCGCTGTTTTTTCCAAACAATACCGACAACATTGTCAAGGAATGTGTAAAGGGAGTTTATTAGCTAAGCATTATAACATTTTAAATCTGGGAGAGCCATGCTTCGGCACTAATGGCCCGGAGTGATACTAAAACCGTACACTAATGGCCCGGAGTGATACTAAAACCGTACAGGAAACCTCACATCAACGTTTCGCAGAGTGAGTATGGTTACTGAAGCCCCAATCTTTCCACTCCTTATCCTTCTCCAACCCATAAATCGCCAAATCCCCATATCTCAAATTGCAATGCACTTGCAATTGCTATGGTGTTGCGCGATTATTCATGGGCGGCGCCGATTCCTTACCATCAGGTTACCCGTCTGTCTGTCGTTTTCCGCCAAAAATTTTAAAGCCATTTTATTTAAGAAAACCTTTGCTTCGTTTATGATTTGGAATCCTGCCCGAAAAGGGAATTTACGAGGTGATATTTCCTGTCGATGATAAAACATCAAATCAAAACGTTGACTCTTGAAAGTAGCGCATAAAGTTGTTGGAATAACCGAACTTTTATCACAAACAACATGCAATCGTCTAGTGACGGTTGCCGAGGGCATATCCGGCGTATAGTTTATAGACACAATAACGTGAGACGAGCAAAGAAACGAATAACCGTTTCAAGTAACGTATACGAGTAATAAACTAGTGAGACAGTGGTGTCCGTGTCCCGGGATTGGTTTGGGAATTGTCTAGCTCTCCGCGATTATATTACGCCGTTTGCCTTGCCACTTATTTAGTTTTATATTGTCTTGTTTGATTTATTTATTCGGGTTCTCGGTTTTTGAATTCGATTGTATGGTTCTCGTTGAATTTGAGACGTACTCGGTCCGCTTGGTATATATTTTTTGGAGAAAATTAAAAAAGGTTAAATTATGAATTTTATACCAGAGAAGTGATATTGAGTACTTTAGCATTGATACGAAGTTTATTGTGATTTGTTTGCATCCGCAAGATAAAATAACGCCTTTTTTCAAGGGAGGGAAATCATCAAATGACTTTTAACGTCCTGGGTAGGGCGAGAGGGAGTGTCAGACTCTTACTGACTAAATACCACCTCCCCGTTCCTTGTCTTACGTCAGATCGTGGCGCAGTACATTATTGCGCTTGACCAGCATCTTCGGCTGATAACCCTCACAACCTTCTCTATTTACACTACAAAATAAAATTCTGATACCAAGTTAGTCATTAAAGTCATCAGTCACTCTACTAGAAAGGCACTTTTCTATTTGACTTTACTAAGTTTAAAAGCCGCCGTTTAAAAATTTGTCTATGCTAAGCGAAAAAAGTAGGTAATATGAACGAACCAATACATAATTAAGTATCTATTTCCATATTGAGCAGGTGCGTCATGAATATATTTAGCTGATGTTCCGACAAGAATATCGACAAAAGAGAGTTAGTTGAATTACCTACCTCCTTGTTCTGTCTTCTATTTGCGTACTCCAACCGCTCAAGCGATATTTGGAGCAAAAATGTTTTATAGATCCAGAAATTATTCTAAATATTATTCAAGCGTTGAAAGGTTTTCTAAAAAGGAAATAAAAGAGAACAAAAAAAAAAATATCATATGCTTAACACTGCGTTTAAAAACCCAAATATAATCCATCTATCTGTAAGGTGTAGGAGAGCTATGCCTCGGCACGAATGGGTCGGCTCGACCGGAATGATACCACGACCTTACAGAAAACCGGCGTGAAATAACCACAGCGTTGTGTTTCGCCGTGTGAGTGAGGTCACCGGAGGCCCAATCCTTCTCATCCCCCAATCCCTCCCCAATCCCTAAATATCCAAAACCCTAATCCTTAAACGGTCAGCAACGCACTCGTAACTCCTCCGTTGCGGGTGTCCATGGGCGGCGCTGATTGGTTACCATCGGGTAATCCGTAGGCTCGTTTGCCGGCCTATTACGTAAAAAAATCTAGGTAAGTATCTGTTTATTTCATCATGATTGCGAATTTCCACTAAGTAAAACTAGCGTTTGTAGTAGTAGTAAAAGAAAAAAACTAAATGAAATCGTTCCAAAAAGTCTAATAAAGCCTGCGACTAAATTATCATGTCCTTTTAACCCTTAAAGGGCAGAAATTACGATTTCATCCCCTAAAAAAGGGCAAGGCGTTTAAGCGTAAGAATTAATTTTACGTCACATAATATACACATCCGTATTAATTATATGCTCGTTTGGCCGGACAAAACTTTTTGTTTTGTTTGTTATATAAATGTGAGGGGCCGAAAGTGTCACTCATTCCATTAGGCGAGAACGGACACATTATTAAATCTGTTCAGTCTAGGGTTGACAACTTCATCGAAAAAAAATATTTATATTCGTTTGCGTTTTAAAAATGTGAGGTGTGTCGCTATGTGCAATTTCTGTGTTAATTTTTTATTGAGTCGTAGTTGGAATATAGTTTTAATTTCAATAATTAATTAAATGTCTTGTTAAGTGATGTGCTCTCCTTTTCTTTGAAAACAAATGGATTTATTAGACTACAACAGTTTTTATACAAAACTAAAACTATTGCTATTGTAGTTGTTTGTTTGTTTAGTAGGTGTGCCCTACGAATAGCTAATGAAGTCCAATCATATATTTATTTCCTTCTTTTTGATTAAATAATCTAACAGGCCAGAAAAAAAATCACTACTATAAAAAAAGCTACCAAGTACCACCAACCCTATATTATAAAATCTCTACGAAGTTGGGTCTTTTAGGCCTCTCGTGGCTTATATATGTTAATGCGTTCCCTGTTCCCAGAGAATTGATTTATGTGTTTTTAAAATTATATTCGTGTGTAGGTACTTATTCGCTACTGGAGTCTAGTGAACAGTTGTTTTAAGTACTAAAAAGTAATTAAAGAACCGTTTAGGATTAGATTTTACTTTTGGTGCTTACTAAAAAAATAATGTTAAAACATTTTCTGACATTTATAAAATAGTTCGTGAAATCACCACAGCATTATGTTTCACCGAGTGAGTGAGGTTACCGGAGGCCCAATCCGCCCCCTAATCCCAAAATCTTTAAATCCCTAATCCCCAAAAGGTCGGCAACACACTCGGAACTCCCCCGTCGTTGCGGGTGTCCATGGGTGGCACTATTGCTTACTATCAGGTAATGCGTTTGTTCGTTTGCCGGCCTATCAAATAAAAATATATAATAAAAAAAAAACTACGTTTAAAAAAACCGACTTCAAAAACAAAAAAGTGTCAAATAATTAAAATAGATATTTTAATAGCACTCTTACGTACGCGAAGCTAATACTTTTAATATTAATAATAAAACACTATCAACTCTATGTGCTACCTATTCATAGGTTTAAAGTCGGTGCCAAGCCTAATACATAATATTATAAGCATTTGATTGATGGCCTTAGCGTAGAATCAGAAGTCTATATTGTTTCGTTACATGCGAAATTATATATAGCTTAGAAAGATATTCGGGTGAAATATGAATTCTAAAAGTTTTCTCGTACTTAACGTAACTCGTGGGTTGTTAAAAGTAGTAGTAGGTATGTTCGTTGTTGGTTGTGAAAATTTCGTCCTTTAGCAGTTAAACAGTCTTAATTCTCATTTAGTTTTATTCTGTTTAGGGCTTGGCACCGACTTCAAACCTATGAATAGGTAGCACATAGAGTTGATAGTGTTTTATTATTAATATTAAAAGTATTAGCTTCGCGTACGTAAGAGTGCTATTAAAATATCTATTTTAATTATTTGACACTTTTTTGTTTTTGAAGTCGGTTTTTTTAAACGTAGTTTTTTTTTTATTTTTTACTTTTTAGTGTCTGTTACAAGTTCTTCTGTAAACTACAGTAACATTTTAAATATAAATTAACATATTGAATAGTATATATATTTTTAAGTAGCTATGTGTAGGCCTACGAAAGGAGCCGCTCTATTAAAAAATATAGATCCCAAGAAACGGGAAAGTTCTCATCATCATCATCATCATCATCAGCCTTTTTAATGTTCCCACTACTGGGTCACAAGCCACCTCTCTAGGAGAGGGAAAGTTCTTATCAATATAAACAAATTAAGTCGAAACACGAGGTCGCTACTGTAAACCGTTGAGGAGTTCCCTAGACTGTCCTTCGTCTTGATCTCTAATGATAGTCACAATCCATCTAGATGTAAAGTTATTATCAAAACCAATTAATTAAGCTCAAACACAAGGAAGCTGCTATGAATCATTGAGGAATTCCCTCGACTGTCAATGGTCTCCATCGTCAGGTACACTGCAGACCTTCAGTTGTTATAATCCATACAGGTACAAAGTTTTCATCAACATAAATGAATTAAGTTCAAACACGAAGTAGTTAGTGTAAACCGTTCAGGAGTTCCCTGAGCTGTCCTTCGTTCTCATCATCAGACCCTTAATGATAGTTACGACCAAGTCTGGTGCAAAGTGCTCGCCAATACGAATCATTCAAGCCCAAACACAAGGCAACTGCTCCAAATAGTCAAGGAGATCC